TGATCCGCGATATAAGGCCTTGTCAACAGTTTCGCACGTCTCATTCGTAGAGGGGTTGTCGCATAAAAGCGCATCCGCACCAGCTGTCGGATACACGTTGTTCATCTCTAGCTCAACCCAGACATCCTTCATATTATTTTGCGATTTGAAGAGACGAATTCCGGTATCAGCAGATCGGGTGTATCGGCTGTTTGTATCGCCCATGACGACAACTGCGTTCCCGGTTGACCAGGTATCAATGTAATCAGCGACCTGTTGGAGATTGCTGTTGCGAGCGGTTTCGTCGCCATCCTCAGTTCTATTCCCAATTAGTAAGTATGTCTAGGAAGAGTGTGAATTGGGTCTTCTCTTACCCAGCATCTGCGTGGAGGTTGTAAAAGTCAATGAAGACTCCATCAGCTGGGTTCCACCTCATAAATGTAACACCCTTGGGAGTCAGACAGTCTGAACCAGATGCATCGGAACATGTATTCCACTTGATGCGCGTGAAATCAACCCAGTCATAATTGGAGATGGTATTCAGGCCACTTCCAATTGCAGCGCCACCAGACGTGGCTGTTCGATAAGCGTGATCGTCAGCTGCATAGATGTAGGCATGGTAATTGAAGTCCTGATAAGTATAGTTAGCCGTGTTCTGAGTATTCGGTGATTAATCCATCAAAATGGAATCAAAAGTACCTCCTGCATGTTGATTATATCGTATCCATACTCGGAGAAGTATTTACCAAGTTGTCCGGCATTATCGGTCTTGTCACCTTCAACATCATTAGATTGCAGAATAGACGGCAAACCGGCAACATTGAAGCTAAGGGCGGTAAATTCTCCGCTCGTAGCAGCCTGGACGCTGGCCGCGAGAAGTATGCTTGAAGCAATAAAACTCTTCATTTTTCCTAGAGCGAGGCTAATATGGTGCTGGTGCTGGTTCTTTCTGATATTTGTGAAGAATCTCTCCCCTTTTATGCTGTATGCAGGTACATTAATCAAGGAAGTGGGGAAGAACATTCGGTATGGTGACGGCTTCGGTTAAGCTTAGTTCTGCACCTTTTTACGCTACTGCAAGCCACACTTCTAACTAGAATAATGAAAGCTCCTAAACGTGGGCAGCTGACCAAAGGATGATTGGAACTTCGGAAATGACAGGCCGCTGCCCTATTTAATGTACATTTAGGGGTTTATTAACTCTACTAGAAGTTACCAGTAGGCGAGATGTCTTACCTACAGCTTTGAAACGGTTCCACTACGCGTACCCACGTGTTCGGCGGCAGGCACCTTAATGGTTTCTGGAACATATTAAAAGTCTTGGCTAGAAAAAGCGAAATGGTGTTGAATCTTGATGTTGGTAGACTTTACCATTCATTAATTGTCATCTGATCGAGCTGGGCAGGCGTTTCGGGATTGATGCCAATGTCATTGGTCAAAAAGCGAAGGGATCGGCAGGTTGAACCAGCATAAACGAGATATTAATTGGTGGAAATATAAACTGTGCTGATCTTCAACCTTCAAAGCTTGCCAAGACCGCAGGAAAGTCTTGGACAATATGAAGTCAGACTATTAACTACTAGTGACCAGATCAACTTCGGAGCATGGCGGATATTGAAGGAATTACTCGGTAGCCTAGCCCCAGGGGTAGTTTATCCGGACTCCGATGCATCCAACTAAGTAATATCAGCAGACTTGCTAGCACTATACTTAGAGCGGCACTCAAATGGCCTTATAAGTAGAACCTCGGAGCTGGGGCCACTACTGGTGTTATTCTATGATTCGGTGCATCATTTACAGTCATTCTCGAAATTGGCTTGACCGATACACACTTAATCACTCTTTTCTGGCCCCACTGCCAAGACCTTAGCCCAGATCATAAATTGGGCGGGTCGCAGTAAGTTGACGGCCACTGTAAACTGATGTTTTTATAGTATTATAAGGTACTAGTAATTTTACAGTACGCGATGTACAAGAGAAGTGGGTAGAACCCTTTGGAAGTTGACACTAGGGGTCTCTGCAAAACATTCTGTCGGTGACTTCAGTTTTCCAAACCTTCTTCTTAGCTTGTCTATATTTTGGATGAACGGGATAACGCGGACGAGATGTGTACAGGGGGAAAGAGCCCAGTTAAGCTTCAAAAACCCGATGTGATGCAAATCCGTTCTCAGTGCCGGCCTCCTTGGAGTAGCGCAAATCCTAGGCAATTACCTCAAGAAGCGAAGGCCAAATTTTACTTGAGCGGTTCACCCTAGAGGTTAGTGCATGTTCACAAGCTCCACAACAGCTTCTGGCCTGTATATATCTTAATCCTTGTAAGCCATCTTCTCGAATGTGGTGGATCTTTCAGTTCTTCGCATTTAAGAGCGGAGACAGTGGTTGACTCTATATTGATGCCGTTGCTAGCGTACAAGAAGGGTTCAGGGGTAATCGACGGACGTCAAGGATTTACTATCGCGAATACAACCTGCGTACAGCTTCAAGACTGACGATAATAGTGACCAGAATAGTGATTTACCAGCAATTTGGACTCATAACAGACGAGTAACCTATGTAGCAAAGTGAACAAAGTGGACTCACGGTGCACGAATAGGAATCACAAGTGGCCTGAATTCAGAGGAAACCCCATATAGAAATTTGGGTGGGCAACAATGTACGTAAATAACTAATGATGATACTATACAGAATAACAATCTTCCCTCTGGTCTCCATATAGCGCTGCGCTCCAACAAATTTGCCGAAATAAGAAAAGTAGGAGGACCTCAGAACTTCTGTAACAACGCAGTTAATACTAACTACTCAGTTTCTCCACCAGATATATTTGCTCCGCTTCTTTAGCTATTTATGAGGGCACTGCTGGTGGACCTTGTCGGGATCTACGCAGTGAAACTGCGTATTAGGGCAGCAGATCTTACCGACAGGGCAATTAAAAGAATCGCCACACTTCGGACCAGAGGCCGAAGAACCACCGCCCACTCGATTAGAAGGCGGGCATTGGTTCCCGGAAAGGCAGCCTAATGTTGGGACTGAGTCGCGGGTTACTACACAGCATTCGGGCTTGTCTCGAGGACAAATCATATCGCCGCACTTATTTGGGTTCGCGACGATGCTGAGAGCAACGCTGAGAGCAAAGGCCACGAAATTCGAGATGAACATTATATTGTTGAATAGTATTTGTAGTTTCTGTTGTCAAGTATTTTGGTATGGGCCTGGTTCGACGGTAGAATAGAAGAAAGAGGTTGATAGGTGATTTATTGTTTAGATAGTAGGGTTTGAGTCTTCACTTTGTTGTGCTATTAAGAGACTGCTGAATGGAACTTATTTTGACGCTGAAACCAACTTATTTATCTTACAGCTTGCTTACTCATGGAAATACTCTGGAGCTAGTCCCCGATAATTTCGTAACCGCTACTAACGGGACTGTAGCTGTCCAGACTGGTTACGGGTGGCAAGTGTATTAACCAGCTTAAAGCAGATCAGACGACTAGAAGGTAGTCGATATCCTACTATAATCTTAATATTTCTGAAAAACCATTCCAGATCGACTCATCTAGATTCAATACCCAAAGCTACTATCATACAATAGGTTAGATAGCGGTTCCGAGGAAGACCTAACTCTTAATAGGTACCATGGTTGGTAAGTATCGACTATATCTATTTTCTATTCATCTATTTGTACGGTGGCAAACTTGCACACAATCTCAAATCGCCTCGCCATAATCAATATACAAAGAGACAATATTTCCTAACCCTACCGCCAAAACAATAGCGCAGATCCTTTTATTTTTTGCTCCGCTTTGAATTAGGATTACAGTAAAATAGACTTTGTACGTTACAGTATAAACCTGGCTTCGTAAAATAAAAACGTACGTATGAAAAATTTGTAAAATTCTATAGAATCTCACAGCGAGTTATGTCATTTACGAACATATGACAGTTAAATCAAGCCTAGCTTAAGCCTCGAATAATATGTAATAATAGGCGGAGCCGAAAACATGATCTCATTTGTGGGGCGGCCTGTTCCCAGCCTATTCGCCGTTTCTTAACGGCACGCTCTAGATCTATCTGCAGACGTCAGCTCTGACGATTAGCGGCCGGTCCCGATTCAAAAGTAAGTTACCTTTTATTTAATGGCACTCCCTCTCAGAAAATTTCTCTCTTCGTATATTAACTTGATACATTACTTTGTACAACTAACGTGTGATTCGCGTATTCCGCCCAATCTACCTTTTAATGCAATTAAGCCAAGCCTGAAACAGTATCTTCATTGCATCATTTGCTGGAGAATAGAGGAAAGTATGCCGAAATCCCGGGTTTTTTACACCTTCGGTAAAAAGTACGTCAAGTTACTTAGGCGCAAGATGGCCTTCCCCACATGATTCGCAGGGATCCATCATAGAATTCTATCGAATTCCATAGGCTTTCTTTCATACGCGTAATATAATCTTATATCGCTTATTACTATAAGATACACGGCACACTTTATGAACCGCTTCGTTTAATGCGGCTCGCTCAATAAATAATCTGCGTTAAGGTCTTGGCGGTGGGGCCACGAAAGAGTTTCTCAGTGTATGTTGGTCAAGGCGATTTCGAGAATCACTTTATAGCCCGAATACTTCAATAAAAAGCAATTCAAAGGCGTTGAAAGGGCTTCTCTTTTGATATTATCGCCTCTGCGGCCGTTGGACACGGTGCATTCTCTGGTCAGTATGAAACAGCGAAACATCCGAGGGGCTGCGGGCTATTGTTGTGCGCATTTTGGGACCCCTTTTGTCACCCTTCTCCATAATACAAAAGCTATGCTACGAATTTGAAGTGAGAGATTTTCAGAAAATGGTCACTATCAGAGTAAGGCTAATTTAAATAATACGAGATGCAACGGACTCCTCGAAAATGTAGATCTTGCTGACACGTCCAAGCGCCAACCCCACCTCAAACGATGAATACCCCCACTTCTAGTCCCTTGACAGGTCACACAACTCGACTCTTAATCAAGGGTCGCGTGGTAGGACATTTTTATCATGTCTGGCCTTGAGGTCATCGGTGTAGCCGCCAGTATCATCCAAGTTGCGGATCTAGGCGCCAAATTATCCGTTAAATTATTCTCCTTCTACCAGCGGGTCAAGAATGCCAGTGACTCTGTTCAGCTCCTGTCGAACGAGATCGCGCTTGTCAGCGCCATTTTACGTGAGCTAGGGGATAACCTTAAAGAGGAGGAGGCATCAAAGCTCTGCTCGAAGGAAGCTTTTCGCACGCTTAACGTTGTTCTCGATCAGTCTCGGGATGTACTTGGACAAATTCAAAGAGTCATTGATGATAATGACCAACGGGGTAAAAGGTCGATTTCAACAGGTCGCGGGCAAACTTCGGATAGCATATCATGAGTCCAGTCTCGATCAACTAAAGAAGAGCTTGGAGAGGTTAAAGGCTACGATGCTACTTCTACTTAATGTGATCACGTATGCGGGGCAGATTCGAAGGTACCTTGACAATGACTTTTGCATCTTTGACGACTAATTCGTAACTTTTAACAGCAATAAAGTCCCGATTCTAGCCCAGGCGCAGCGTGATTTGATCCAAAGTCTCTTACAAGGGCAAAATATTGACAACGAAAAGCCGCAAGAGTCAGATGCGACGGGAGAATCTGAGCGAGATTTCCCGCCAAAGCCATCCCAGACGAATATCGGTCATACTAGTACCGATTATGTCCCCGGTCAGAAGGGCATCCCGCATGATCATCGGCCAACACGAAGGAATCGAAATCGCCCTCCCAGTGTGATGGCGATGCCGCCATTAAAACCTCCGAACGAAGCAAGTCACGGGACTCAAAAAGCGACAGAATCCACCGAGCTCAAGGAGTACAATCTACTTATAAGATCCATGCTTGTCGAGATTGAATCCTGCAAGCAGAAGCTCAAGAGTAGCAGATACTCACGAATCAAAGATGGAATCTTGAATATCCATTCCGGGGAAATCATACGCTTCCAAATCGAACACCGGCATCCAATTGACATCGATCAATCACTTTTCGCGTAAGTCCATGGCGCAACATCAATCGGTTTCCTCTTCATACTGACTCGCCGCAATAGGCTTGATATGCGCAGTGAGCCTTTGTCGCCGACAATCGTACACGAAAAGCCACCATACGGCCACGATCGCTCCAGAAGCTCCGGAGTATTCGTTCACCCTCATCGTCGGACAGAAGATGACTCTCATCGTTGGAGCCAAAATGAGGAATTACCTGTGATGCCAGTGCATGAATCTCCAACATCACTTTCACCAGGCCGACATTCCAATGCTCCGGTAATTCTGGGTGCGACTTCCCCTGCAGCAAGCCAGAACAGTAGCAGCAGGCGAAGGAATAGATCACATCGAGAAGATCAGCACGTATCATCCAAAAGTGAGTCGGAAGAGAAGACATGGAGTGATTCATCACGACTGGGTCAATCCCAGCGAATGTTGGAGAGAAATGACCAGGCACGAACATCAGAGTTTCGGAAGCAACAACAAGAGATTGAGCGTTTGGATCGTGAGCTAGCGAAATACCACAAGAGACCAGGAGTATCTCCCAATGAACATAAATCACAACCATATCGTCATGAAGAGGTATGGAATTCAGATGAGGGCGAAATACCTAAAGAAAGAAAACCAACAAGGCGTCGTGAGCGCATGTCTCGCCAGGAAGAGGGAAAGTGGCGCCGATCAGAGTCTGAGAGGCGACTACAGAGGTACGAGGAGATGGAAAAAGAAGCGGAGGAAAGGCAACGATTGAAGAGGCGCTTCGCAAAGGATCGGGAGGACGAGCGATATGGGAATGGGACCGATGATCGACGTTTTCAACCGGAGCGGCAAGAGTACAGAGTCCGATCTGAAGAGGACCAGAAAGATGAGGAGCGAAGAAAGGAGGAGCAGCAAATGGAACGAGGGAAGCAAGACTCAAGGTGGCGATTGAAGGCTTTCGATAAAGATGAAGAGAAGGAGGACGCCGTTCGTCAGGAGATCAAGACAGAAATGGAGAGGCGACGTGCTAGGGTCGAGTATCAGTATGGTCCATCTAGCACGTCCGATAGCTCTAGCGAGCATCAAGATTTTTTAATTAACATGCCTTCATCGGAGAGTGCAACGACAGAGCGGGTTGGCGACGGAGTTTCGGAGAAGGAATTTGCTGCAAACCTTTCGCTTCCAGGGAATTTGGGGGATTTGTTAGCACAGTGGACCACCCTTGATCGGGAGGAGATACATCGTGAGCAGTTCTCGATGTTCTAGTCGCGTAGAGTTGCAAAGATAATTATGGGAACTTGATATCAAATAAATTATTGTTCAAAGCTTTTGCACTTTATCCAGGTACATTGTGATAGTTCAGGGTATCAGAATTGAGATGAAAAGAAAAGAAATTGAATTGAGACACTTGAAGGTGAATCCCGAAATGAACACATGTAGAGTAACAGAAGACTACACATTAAACACAACCCATGAACATATCGAGAACACCTAAAAAAGGGCACCGTGAGCCCATGCAACCACTCCGTGACATACAAACATGAACATGACCATAAACCTATTAACTCCATCTGCTTCCAGAACGGGGGTATCACAAATCTACATGAAAGATGGCGTAACAACATCACCCACCATGACCGTACGGCAATCCAGTGGTTCAAACTCAAGTCTGTCGACCTCCGCTGGGGAGAGAGCAGCATAGCGACCAAATTGGATCTTTCCATCGATGTTTCTGGTCTTTGCCAGGGTAGAGAACGGCTCGGAGCGACGCAGTCCAGTAAACTGATCGATGCAAACCATCTGACAACGCTGGCATCCCTCGAGAACATCGATACGAAGTTCATCAGGCCCGATGCGTAGGCCAGACCAGTGGTCTTCGGCATAAGGCTGTTCTGCGTCACCGATACGAGTAAGTCGCTCGGCGACTACTATGTTGCCGCGGAACACATCGGCCGCTACGGCTCTGCCGGCGCCAGATCCTTGTTTCGAGTTCGCTTTGATCGTCTCGTTAAGACGATTCACAGATGAACGGGAGACGACAAGGATTGGCATTTCGTTGGATAGAGTCAGGGGTTTGCCTTGCTGGCGAGTCTGTTCAACGACAGGTGGTGGGAGGTCAGGGGGGAAAGATCCAGGCATGAGCAACTTCCGGAACTTGCTCTTCCATGCACCAGAGAGGCGGGGTGGGCGTGAGAATCTGGTGGCAGATTGTGAAGGGAAGCGTGCAAGCGTGCAGGGAACTCCCAGGAAATCGGAGAAAAAGGCCGAAACAACCGGTGATGCGTATGCATGTAGCGAAATTTGGTCGCCACACACCATGGTCGCCTTTTTGCGACCGGAATTTTGACATAGCGAGGTTGATATGAGACTGGTTTCTTCCCAGCCAAGTGAAATTTCGAGGGACATTTGATCAGTGGATTCGCCGCAGGTAAGTCGCAAAACGCCACGGTCGAGATCAATGGAGGGGCGGATGAGAGCCATGCGGGGATACTTTTTCTGGCTGAGCGCAGCACCTGTTCCTTGGTGGATGAGACACCACTCGCGGTCCCATGCTAGGCCTTCTTTCTTGACTTCCCAACGTTTGCCCTCGGGGATTTTGAAAGCACCGCAACTCTTGATTGGGAATACCGAGAGGCTTTCGATGTACCAGTGACGGTCGAAGACATCGCCTTCTTCCATGGGTGGGGTGAGTGCAACGATAGGGGGAGCATTCTCCACGTAGAATTCTTCGACGAAGTCAACGATGGAGTTGATATCCCTCATGTTTGTCATTGCACCAAAACTAACTCGGCAGACACCAGTAGGTCGACCACCCATAACGTCGTGAGCATCACCACATCGCACACCATTCGAGTAGGCATGGCGCATCTCTGCCGATGTCCATCCGAGAGAGCATGCGGCGCCTCCGGGGTTGCACACCGTTCCGGTTCGCATCTGGATATTTTGGACAGTAGCCAATTTTTCCACCTCGGATTTTGGAACCCATTCACCCTGACTATTGCGAAGGTTGAAGGCCAGAATGGGACCTTGACTCTTTTCGTCGCCATAAACCGAGTTTACGTGGTAGATCTCGCAGACTTTCGTCTTGTTCCAGTGCTTCAAAGTGGATAGTCTATCGTAGAGTTGTTTTGCCAGGAATGCAGTGTGGGACGAGATGTTGGCCATGGAGCCAAAGAGTCTTTCGTGTGTGTTTATGGCGGCATCAAGAGCAATGATGCTGTGGAATGGCAAGGTACCATCCTCGAGTCGCGCGTGAAGAGAAGACTCCTTCTTTGCATGCCACTGGCTACCATGTGCCAAGACCATTTCCACAGTACCTCCACCGAAGTATCGGCGTCGGTCAAACAAATGGCTAACACTTTTCTTCACAATCAGGGCACCCAAGTCAGGAAATCCGAAGATCTTGTAGAAGCTCAGTGCGGTGAAGTCTGGGGCAACAGCGCCTATGTCCAGTGGGGAGGTCGAGACCATTGAGGCCGCGTCGAGCAAAGTAAACACATTACCGCCATTAGAAGCGGCACGAATTTCCTTGCACCAGCGTAGAGGGAGACGTCGGCCGTTCAGGTTGGATTGGCCCGGAAAAGCGAATAGTCTGGGAGCCTTTGTTGGGTTCGAGGCAATCTCTGGGATCCATTTGTCGACGTCGGCATCACCCATAAAGCATTGATGATTCAACTCTGCAAGTTCACGAACTCCGATGAGACTGGTGTGAGCGTCAATGTGGTAGCCATACCAAAAGCCCCGGTGATCAGCGTCACGGAGACTGTCAGCAACGAGCTTGATGGCGGCCGTTGCATTAGCCACAAAAACCAGATCAAATTCATCAGGGTCGGCGTTGAAAAAGCGTAGCACCCGCAGCCGAATATCATCAGTTCGGGTGGTAGAAAGTTGGGAGGAGAGAGACATGGAGTGTGGGTTTCCAAAGAGACCGGACATCATATCTTTGGAGAAATCTTCGATCGTGGACTTCGCATAGGGCGTCGTGCCAGCATGATCGGCGTAAGTTGTTTCTGGGACGATTGATATGTATTAGTAAGTTCACTTCATGTCAAAGGGACAGTGATTTGCATACTGTCAAGGTGGGGATATTCCTGCTCGCGAATCTTGTCCACATCGTCTGAATAGCCATAGCTATATCCGATGGGACGACTAACTGCAGTAGGAGCAGCCATGATGGGAAATGGAAATCAGATATGCACAGCCTGGGCAAGGACAGATTCCTTGGAGTTTGTTAGAGTTTCTGTCTCGCTGCACGTCAATGATTGTCGACAGCCACGTGGGAGATCGTCGAGTGCTCACGCACCTTGGTCAAAGATGACTTGGGTACTAAACAAAACAGAGGTGTCAGTTGGTTCAAACGGTGTCAATCACTCTCTCTGTGTCTGTCAGAGCCAAAGCAGTGTGTACATCGTTCACGTATGTAAATACGAGGCTTGACAACGGGTTTCCAGAGAGGGGGACAAGGGCAGTTGATAAGGCGGATATGCAAGTATAAAGGGATCGGAGCTTACCGAGAGGTGGAAGTGAAATGGGGCCAGAAGTGGATCTTGTCCGCGCCAAGTGAACAATCGAAATTCCAAAGAGTACATCCCTGGGGGGTACTTGCTTTTGTAATTTAGAGAGTCCGAGAGTCCGAGAATCAATTCCGAATGAAAGAGGCAAAAGTGAAAGTGATCAAAGTAAAGTGGAAAAGTAACTCTGCTGTTGCTGTTTGGCCTGTGGCGGGTCACATGACACCCTCTTGCGGGGATGCGGGCGAGTGCGGATTTCTCGGAGTCTTTGACACTGACATTCACTGCTTTCAAATGTGCGGAGAAGAAGTCTTTTCAAATGTCCGAGAGCAAGAAACCTTCAAGTTTCAAGGTTACCACCGTCATTGACATCAATATACATAACCGAGCTCGCCTCATACCTAGGTACTACTATATATACTACCCCCACCTATCAAAGCCCGCCCCCACTCTCACCCGCAGGTACTGCCGCATATCCATTCCAATATCACCCTATATCACAATATTCTACTTAATACTAGTAGAAGTATTACATACTACCTAGGTAGTAGCTGATGAATCTTCAAGGTACCAACTTGGCGCTTCGGCGGATCCCCAACATCTGCACCGCATGCAGGAGGGCTAGCCGACCCAAGGGCCTAAGAGTCCGTCAGGGCTTACCGCGTCAGCTTACCCTGTAAGCTTCAAGGCTGCTCGTATTTCGGGTGCATAAACTTAGGTACTAGTAGTACAGACCGTTAGAAATTACCTAAAAATATGTAGAGCGGGCAGTGTTTATCTATTTAGAACTGGTTAAGTATATAAGCTGTTGTATTTATAGCTACCCAAAAATGAATCTTAGGTCCGAACAGCCCCGTAAACCTTGGAACCTTGGAAGTTTCGAAGAAATATTTTTACATGAATAAAAGCAAAAAAGTCATTATAGAAACAGGTGGAATGCGTCATGCACATCGACTGGAAGATGTCCAGGTTACACTGTCCAGGCTTGGCATCAATAATTCCTGCTGTCCTAGAACAGTACTAGAAACCTTCGAATGATCATTGGTCATTGGTATACACCTGGGCCTTTGGACTGGAAGATGGCAGGTCATCCTAATAAGCTAGCTACCAGGAAACAGCAAAGTGTGATTTTCTGCAAATTGCCGTAGGAACAAAAGGATTGTTCAGTAGTGCCGCGCTAAATACTGGCCAGACCTTTCCACTTGCATACAGCCCCGTTGGCTACCTAGCCAGAAATATTCTGGTACAGTGGTGTTGCAAAAGCTTGAAACCCCTTCTTGACCGTCCTGATCTCTGGCTTCCAGTAGCTACTTTTAGTAAGATGAAGGCATGCACATGGCTGCCAACCCTGCCAATGCCATGAAGGCAATATGGTCTACGGAGGAGCCGGAATTTGGTGTGTCGACGAGGGTGCCTTCGAAGGTAACACCCACTCAGCCGCACAAATTCAATAGTCTCTGTGATATCGGATTTTGATTCAGATTACTGCGGTAATATGCACACAGAAATCATCCGCGAGAGAAAGGCCTCTGCGGGGAAGGGGAAACATGATGGACCACATGCCCATTCGCTTTATATAGTACAGGTGATATGATCGAACAAAAAGAAAGAAAAGAAAAGACAAGAAGAGAGAACTCCATCCCAAACCCCTGCAAATGATTTCATACAGATGCGTATGCCGAGGATTGCCAAAACGAGATGGGCAGCGTGGGTGAATGTCGACAAGCGAGAGTGAAGAACAAACATGAACACAACATGTTCATCTGGTTTACCGCTTGGGCCATTGTCTCCAGCCACGACCGTGACCGCGCTATAGATCGAATTAGTACATGTTCCTGCTTTCGTACAAGGGTTCTCAGCTCAGCTGAACTGGGGTAAAAACGTACCTGCTTCCACAAACGGATCATCTCCGGCATCTCGGTCATCGCCTTGCGACGATCCTCGAGACGTGCCTCCATCGTACGCTCCCACTTGTGACCCTTGACCTTCTGGCCAATACCAGTACCCTTGATACGCAGACCTCGCTCAGCCAGGCGGGCCTGCTTGTACTCGGTTGACTTGGTGCTGGGAGGAAGAAGAGGCTCCACATTGTATTTGATTGCCAGTTTCACGAGGTCGGCCTGTTGTCGCAGTCCGTAGCGCGGTCCGATCCACTTTCCAGTGGTGAAGATCTTCCGGGGTAGGAAGGGGTTCTGGTTGCTGGGGTCATTGTGCAGAAGAGCACGAGAGAAAGAAAAGGCCTCACGGTCTTCCTTGTGAGCTCCCTTGGCCTCACGATCGGGAGTGTATGGAGATGGCAGGTTCTGTTCGGCGGATGCTTCGCCCTCCGGGGCTGTCGGGCGCGGTGCGACCAGGGCGGAGTAGACCTGGGGAGGATAGCGGGCGAAGAAATTGCGTAGACGCAGGGGTAGCTTGCCCACTGACTCTGTGAGAGACGCCATGGCGAGCGTGCGTGATTGTGAATGGCGGGGGGATAGCTAAACTGCGGACATTCGGAGTCTTTCACTCTTTCACGATGTTGACGGAACAAAAGTTGCGGCCCACGCTAATCCCAATTGAGGGTTCATTCTGCCCGAGGCGGTGACGGAGTGAAAAGCGGAAAAGAACGAAAGAAGCGGCTGGTTTCAGCCTCCTCCCTTTCACCATCCATTGTTACCAAAACTGCCAACACTTAGCGACATATCTCTTAACTAGTTGGAACACACTATTTCATTTCTGTGCATATCAGTGTCTCACTGTGCCCGTCATGGCGGACTACAACTACGGTGGTTCGGAGGAGGAGAATGCGGAACTGAGGAAGCTAGAGGCTGAGTTGGTATGTCAGAACTGATGCTCTCATGCGCGCGCCCGGCTTGGATCGCAACATCCTCGCTTTGTTACTGTCTCGGTCGCTAACCTTTGATTATGATAGCTGGATGATCCCGACAACTTTGAGACTTGGGAGAAGGTTGTCCGCGGCGCCGAGGCCCTTGAGGGTGGCATCAACCGCAATTCAAACCCCCAAGCCATCACCACTGTTCGCACCAACTACGACCGCTTTCTCGCGAAGTTTCCCCTCCTCTTTGGCTACTGGAAGAAGTATGCCGATCTGGAGTTCTCCATCACCGGCACTGAAGCCGCAGAGATGGTACGAAACCCCCCAGCCCCCCGCAGATACAATACAATATCCCCTATCAAGTTGTTTCGGTATCACTTTCACTTGGGCCTTCAAATCTGACAAACATCTACTATTTTAGGTCTACGAACGCGGAATCGCCAGCATCTCCCCCTCTGTAGATCTCTGGACCAACTACTGCGGTTTCAAGGCCGAAACCTCCCATGACGCCGACATTATCCGAGAGTAAGTCGATACGTGGTTTCCTTCCCTTACCTTTCCCTGTAACCGTGACCGTGACCGAACGCAGCTCGCGAAAGCCCCTGTTGTTCCGATGTTGTTTGAGGCTTGGATATGCGGTGGTTCAGATATTCCATTGATGATGGGTGAGAAAAACATCGCCTTCCCACCCTGAATCAAGCGGAGTTTACTTCTCACCGGCTCATCCAGGCTGCTTTCCTTCTCCACCTCACAGGCATGATTTGCATCTTGCCCGGACAGCCCATGGAACAGTCTCGCTCGAAAGGCTCTTCCCTCTTAATCCTGCGCACGAAAACCCTGGCTACCTTCCCCCTACAGCTTGCTCACCCCGTTGATTGATGTTCTGGGTCTGTCTCAGTGACAGCATGAGCCATGTTTGACACATAACCTTCTCCTACCGCCCCCTTTCCATTCCTCCCATCCCATCCCATCCCACCCCACCCCAAGCATCAAATTGTGCTGTGTGCTAACCAAGCTGAAATAGCCTATTTGAGCGTGGTGCCAACTGTGTTGGTCTTGATTTCCTTGCCCATCCGTTCTGGGATAAGTACATTGAATACGAAGAACGCGTTGAGGCACAAGACAAGATCTTCGCCATTTTGGGTCGTATCATTCATGTCCCCATGCATCAGTATGCGCGATACTTTGAGCGGTATCGCCAGCTAGCACAAACCCGTCCCTTGGCGGAGCTTGCCCCTGCAGACATCATGTCTCAGTTCCGAACAGAAATCGAGGCCGCTTCGTCTCAAGTTCCTCCGGGTGCGAAGGCCGAGGCCGAGATCGAGCGTGATCTGCGCTTACGAATTGATAACTATCATCTGGAAGTTTTTGCCAAGACTCAAGCTGAAACAACCAAGCGCTGGACTTACGAGTCGGAAATCAAGCGCCCTTACTTCCACGTTACTGAACTGGACGAAGGCCAATTGGCTAATTGGTCGAAGTATCTTGACTTTGAAGAGAGCGAAGGCTCTTACTCCCGCATCCAGTTCTTGTACGAGCGCTGCCTGGTCACTTGTGCTCACTACGATGAGTTTTGGCTCCGTTACGCCCGCTGGATGGCTGCTCAGTCTGGCAAGGAAGAGGAGGCGCGCATTGTGTACCAACGTGCTAGCTGTCTCTATGTCCCCATTGCGAATCCAACCATCCGACTTCACTATGCCTACTTCGAGGAGATGTCTGGTCGCACTGATGTCGCCAAGGATATTCACTATGCAATCTTGATGAACCTGCCTAGTCACGTCGAGACCCTCATCTCACTCGCAAATCTCTGCCGTCGCCACGGTGGTCTAGATTCCGCGATCGAGGTCTACAAGACCCAACTGGATTCCCCCGAGGTTGACATGTCGACCAAGGCCGCTCTTGTCGCGGAATGGGCTCGGCTCTTGTGGAAGATCAAGGGTGCTCCCGATGAGGCCCGGAAGGTCTTCCAAGAGAACCAGCAGTACTACCTCGACAGCCGTCCGTTCTGGACCTCTTACCTCATGTTCGAGATTGAGCAGCCGACTAGCGCCGAAGCCGAGTCCGTTCAGTACGACCGTATCAAGCAAGTCGTTTCCGACTCTCGATCCAAGAGTACACTACCTGCCGAAATCGTCAAGCAACTCGTGCAAATTTACATGGCTTACCTGCTTGAGCGTGGTATCAAGGACTCCGTCAAGGAGTACATGACTCTTGACCGTGAGATCAATGGCCCACCTTCCATCGCTTCGGTCAGGACCGGCGGAACTGCCATTGCTGTGCTACCAACTCCCGCAGAAGTACTACCGGCAGTGCCTGCTCCCGCTCCCGCACCCGTGATGCCCGATACTCAAGACCCTGCAGCCGCGGCGCAGGCATATGCCTATTATCAGCAACAGGGAAGCCCTGTGAATGGTGTCCCGGTCGCCTAAGTACCTGGTCAGGCAGCGTAATACTTGTCATGTCTCCTTATGAACATTTTGTTTGCGGTGGTATCGGTCGCTCTGAGCCGCCATCCCCTTTCTTTGAGGTGTTTTCATTCTTACGATTTCTCATCTACAAGGGCGGGTGAGTTTCTTTTTCTGTAGCATCATGTTTTTTTTTGTGCCGTCCCCTCACCATGGCACCGTTCTTGCTTTCCCCTCCTTTCTACAGGTTTGTTTAGCGAATTTGATATGCCAAATAGGCTTTGCCAACTCGGCACTCATTCTGGTTTGCTTTTATGGTTAGGACCATTCGGATTTCCCCAATCGTTCCGTTGTACTCTAGTTTCCCTCTTGTTTGAATGATGCTAAACCCAACCAACATATGCAAAGTGCCTTGCTCTCTCCATTTGTCGAGTAGTTGGCTTAACCCTGCCATGTAGGGCAGCCATGTACTACTACTAGTAGTATTACCTGTAGAAATGAAGCCCGATATAATCTAGCAGTAATTAGTACAATCCCATCTTGTTGACACTCCATACTGGTCCACCGTTAATCCACAGTAGCACGTGACCGCGTGACTGGTCCATCGCGCTCCGCCGTAGAAATTCGATGCGACATCTCGCCGCATCGTCCAACCCGGTTGCCATCAGATTGCTCTCAGTCCAGGTTGCGATGGATGCTGTTATGACTAACGGCTCGGATGCCCCCCATGGGCCTCCTCCAGACCCCATAGAGCGTCCACCGACACCTCCTCCCCCTCCCCCCCGAAGACTCGGGAGCTCCGCCGCCGCCGCCAGATGCTGCCGCGCCTCCACCTCCTCCAGATGACATTCCCCCTCCCCCGCCTGTGGAGACAAAGAAGAAAAAGCAAGGATGGGGTGCGAAAAAGCCCTCCGCGATACCGTTGAGTGTGGAGGACCTGATCCAGAAGAAGAAAGAGGCGGATGCGGCTTCTGCGAAGGTATGCGCTCTGCCATCCGAACCCATTCATTCTTACCACGAGGGAAACACAGTTACTAATTTCTACTATTTTCTATTCACTTATAGCCCAAATTCTTATCCAAAGCTCAACGAGAAAAGCTTGCGCTGGAGAAGCGCGCCAAGGAAGTAGAGGCCGAGCGACAAGCGAAGAAGGCACCTGCGACTGGCGTTGATCGCAATGGATTCTCGACCGAGCCGGCTTCATCGAGAACCGAGCAGAAGTACCCAGATACAAGAGATCCAAATGGACAAGTACCAACTGGACCTCGTGCCATGCGCGGCGAGCGTTCGTCCGGACCTGGGCCCTCACGAAACGGACAACAATCACGAGGACAAGATAAGGAATCGGCGAAGTCAAGGAACGCGAAGGCCGACAAGCGTCTTGCGGAAGAGGATGAGGCTGAGGCACAAGCGTCTCTCGTCAAGAAACAATATATGGGAGCTGACCAAACCTCCACATTCTCCGCCAAGAAGAAACGCAAGCGCACCACCGATCGCAAGTTCAATTTCGAGTGGAATATCGAGGAAGATACAAGCGGCGATTACAATCCTCTATACCAGCACCGACATGAAGCCAACTTCTTTGGTAGAGGCCGACTGGCAGGATTCGGAGATGATGTCGCAGATGATGTGGCGCGCAAGTATGCTGACGCCTTGGTAACTCGAGACCAGGAGTCGGGTAGCATGCGCGCGAAGGAGATTCTCAGAGATGGAACGTCGTCGTCGTGAGGAAGGTTCGCGTAACCAGATCGATAAGCACTGGAGCGAGAAGAAGTTGGAGCTCATGCGCGAGCGCGACTGGCGTATTTTCAAAGAAGATTTCAATATCGCTACCAAGGGTGGAAGCGTGCCCAACCCGATGCGTTCTTGGGAAGAGAGTCTCTTGCCAAAGCGCTTGCTGGAGCTTGTCGATCGCGTTGGCTACAAGGAACCCACTGCGATTCAACGTGCCGCTATTCCCATCGCAATGCAGTCGCGAGATCTCATCGGTGTGGCCGTTACTGGTTCCGGTAAAACAGCTGCATTCCTGCTGCCACTTTTGGTATACATCTCAGAGCTACCACGGCTAGACGAGTTCGAGTGGCGCAAAAACGACGGCCCCTACGCAATTGTTCTTGCTCCCACTCGTGAATTGGCGCAACAAATTGAAATTGAAGCCAAAAAGTTCACCCAACCTCTTGGTTTCAACGTCGTCAGTATTGTCGGTGGTCACTCAATCGAAGAACAAGCGTTCAGTCTCCGCGATGGCGCGGAAATCATCATCGCCACCCCAGGTCGTCTAGTCGACTGCATCGAGCGTCGCATGCTCGTCCTCAGCCAGTGCTGCTACGTCATCATGGATGAAGCAGATCGCATGATCGATCTCGGTTTCGAAGAACCCGTCAACAAAATCCTAGACGCCCTCCCAGTGACGAATGAAAAGCCCGATACCGAAGAAGCAGAAAACTCACGCGCCATGAGCCAACACATCAGCGGACGAGACCGTTACCGCCAAACCATGATGTACACAGCCACCATGCCCGCAGCCGTCGAGCGGATCGCGCGCAAATATCTCCGTCGACCAGCAATCATCACCATCGGTGCTATCGGTGAAGCCGTCGACACAGTCGAGCAACGCGTCGAAATGATACCCGGCGAAGATAAGCGCAAGAAGAGACTTGCGGAAATTCTTTCTGCGGGAGACTTCCGTCCTCCAATCATTGTTTTCGTCAACATCAAGCGAAACTGTGATGCTATCGCTCGTGAAATCAAACATATGGGCTTCTCATCTGTTACTCTGCACGGTTCTAAGACCCAGGATCAGCGTGAGGCTGCTCTTGCCTCTGTCCGTAACGGTTCGACGGATGTTCTTGTCGCTACTGATCTGGCTGGTCGTGGTATCGATGTTCCCGACGTCTCGCTTGTCGTTAACTTTAACATGGCTACCTCGATCGAGAGCTACACTCACCGTATCGGTCGTACTGGTCGTGCCGGTAAAAGTGGTGTGGCTATTACGTTCTTGGGTGGCGAGGATTCGGATGTTATGTATGTTTTCCCCTTTTGCCCTGTTGCAGTGCCCTTCTGGGTTATTCTCTTGTTCGGTATGCTAATCAAAATTACAGGTACGATCTCAAGCAAATGCTCACGAAGTCGCCTATCTCGCGTGTTCCTGAGGAATTGCGCAAACATGAGGCTGCGCAGTCCAAGCCGAATCGTGGACAGGCAAAGAAAATCGAGGATAGTTCTGGGTTCGGTGGGAAGGGTGGTTGGGCGTAATGAATTTAAGGCCTGTTTGATATACTATTGTGGAAGAATACCATTTTTATGCCATGATCATTCTATTCGCACAATTATCACTATGGAGATGTAGCTTTCTCGTTCTAGCTTTTACGAACTTGAAGCTGTTTAATTTGTAGAGAGGTTTGGGTATGTACCATGCTGATATCATTTCACCTCGGGTTTTGCTTGTGCATGTATTGTATCTAAGCACACTAATCACGTTACATTATTCTGAAGCCTTGAGTTGGCGACGATTCTGCATCAATTTATTCTGCAACAGAGGTGTAGTCACTGTGGGTCGTCCTTTTGTGGCGTTCTCAACCTTGGAAATCTTCGGGACGGCTCGAGTACAAGTATCTCAGCTATAAATCGCGGATCGTGCCGTGAACCTTCAAGATGGGGTTTGTCGCATATCGAGACTCGGAGCATAAGCGATTCACTGCGGGTGACCGACCTTGGAATTTGCTTCCTGTCGTTCACAATGTCTGGCGGCTAAAAAGGCCTATCACCTTGCTTGCAAGTTCCAGCATTCCAATTTTGTTAGAAGGGGTAAACACCATGGATTCTTGAGTTTGAATTAGACGATTGATAGTGAGAAATCCGAGACCCAAAGCTGAGCAGGGTTGAAACAGAAGCCAATTACACGACCTTCTTGACGCGAGTGCACCAAGCCCCTTAGAGAAACTACATCGAATACGAAGAAATTTGACAAATAAAGAAACGCCAAGCTCACAACTGAAAGTGCTGATATGACCAGTGCCAGTCTACGGGGTAGCGATCATCGTGGGGGCCAGAAGGCCAGACGCAGCAGCAAATCAGAACCCCTTGCAAGTTTCACAGATAGCGTGTCCAGGCATAAATTGCTAGACCTATCTGGGAAAAAGAGATGCAGCGCCAATCAACCCGTTCAATTCTGCGGCAGCTGTTGCAGATCATCGCAAGTACGGCGTGCCGTGGCCATTTTGATAGGCATCTGGACCGCAATTACGCTGCCAGCGTGCCAAGAAGCCTTGTTCACGCCAAGACTTTTGGGCCCCCAGTTCTTGGGGGCTGAAAGCCAAGTCGATTTCTAAATCGGCCCGGGGCGGGCTGTTGTTAAAAGGCTGAGCGAAGCCCGCCGCGGCTTCTGACGCGGGCTTTTCTCTTCGCCTATCTACATCGGTCTGCGGATCATAATACACTACGATGGATTTTTGGAAAAGGGAAGAAGCCGGTGGTGAATGTGAGCTGGTTGGGGAGGAAATGGCTACATTGGTGGGCAATGGGGTTTGTATACACCTACCAAGAATCCATGCCGATGGAATGACCTGACTGATTACGAATAGATTTTGGTAGGATTTGCTGGTCAAGCCCTCTTATCCTTGTGCCTGTCGGCTTGGGTATTCTTCCTCACAAAACATGGAAATATGGACATTACGCACCCAGAAGGGTCGATCGGGCGTGTGGTTGAACGCAAGCGCATGGAATTTGTTATGAATATTTTGATGGTTGGATCGGACTTTCAATCAACCCTGGGCATAGCCTATATGATCACTACCTTCGCGCAGGTACGCATCCTCGATCACCCCTTCAAAGTTCCCTGTCGGATTTGTGAGGTTTTCTGACATGTCTTTTACTTTCGCGCAGGCACAAATTATGGATACATACCACCTCCACCTCGTTTTCGATATCGCTAGCTTCGTCGGAGTATCCAACACGGCCGCGCTTGTTTGTTGGAGATATTGTCGTGCTAAGATCAGCGAACCTGACGCTAAACGTCGTGGTCTCCGCGAGCGTGTAACATGGTTCGACAATCGCTACCGAGCCGCTTATATCTTCGTTGCCTTATACCTCGCCCTGACGATACTGCTCGAGCTTCGCCTCAATGAATGGGCTCCGAACAAGGAGCCTGGTCGTTGCTACCATTCGTACTTGGTGACGAGCCCATCAGACTCCCACCCAGGCTCGGATAAGCTCTATGTGGCTTTCACCAGTGCTTGGCTCATGATTGTCGTTCTCTCTAGCATTTTCGCTGGAGTCGGCAAGAGGCGTGCGATTCTGATTTTATCCGCGCTCCATTTCCCCTTGCACCTTTACATGGCGATTGCTCTTCGGCAGGCAAATCAAGGAAAGTTCGAGGGCGAGACAAACCACGAGAATGAATGGGACTTTGGCCAAACGACCGCAGTTCTTCTTTTGGGAATTGCTCTTGTGGAGCTGGTCGCCAAGGGGAAAGAATACTATGACTTCGAGACTCATGTGGCTAAGCATGGATTGCCCCCGCCTACAGATGAACACTCGATCCATAAGGATGAGGAAACCAGTAATGGAAGCTATCTTCTCGATCCTGTTCGACAAGATGAACGCAGTCCTGGGGAGAGTCAGCAAATTACGGAAGAACACTCCGCGACTGCAAAAAACGGATACCAGCGGGTCGAAGGCTGAATGATTCTCGACATGATAAAATTGACGCATAATGACATTCCGCTGCAAATTATGAATGACAGCTAGACTCAAGTCTAGCAGTTAGATGAAATCTTGCAAGATAATTCTATCTAGCCAAGGCGATAGACTGAGACGGCACCTGCATGACATTGTTATCCACCGACAGGGACGAGAGCATGAAGGCTTGACATAATAGATCATTAAATTACCATATCTACTAAATATTAAAGCCATGACTACCTAGGCGTATTAATAATAGGGTAGGTAGTGAAGCAATTCATTCAGAGTTTCGTCAAATTGCCAGTAATTATATAATCGCTGTGTCGGCGTTGAGTAGTAGGCTCAAGTTGTTACTAGGTGAGTTGGTACTAAGCCCTACCTACTAGGTACTAGAGTTCAGTCGTGGGCGACAACGATGATAACTAAAATAAATACTACTACTACTACTACTACTACTATTAGGTACTATGTTACTAACCAAAAGTCAAATTCCAATTCGAACAACCTTGAAAGGCAGTTCAGTATATTTGTTGCTTCGGAGCCATTAATCAAGAAGACTCTGTGCTATTGATCAGTAAATACTAGTAGTAGTATTGATAATACTATACTCTTTGGATTTCTTCTAATCGGGTGTCCTGGTGAATCTTGGAAGCATACTGAGACGAATTCTTCAGGTCCGTGTCTCTCGAAACATATGCTAGCAGTTGGCCGGAATGCCCGGCCATCTAAGGACTTTATATTCCAAGGTTTCCGAGGTCCTCTCTTCTCCAATAATTATGCACCATCTGACTCTGACCGCGAGCGGCAAGCGATGCGTCGGCTATGCGCCACAACTTCATGCGCTTGACACCACCTTCTCCCCAACAAAAGGGCCGCACCAGCCACCCCATAGGCAAAAGAACGCCATGCCAGGTGGTAGATTATAATGATATGGCGGTAAGGCTTATGCACCAACCCAAATCTGACTAATGAGAAATCTATAGCACTACGATTCTCATGAACCTCCATGTCACCCGGGTTTGCCTTGGGGGCCGATAATCCAAGATTCTATTGGCCGATTCGCAGGCGGGAAGGCCCTAGTTCCTGGGCTCTGGGGGGCCCGATGGAATCGCCACATTGAGATGGGCGCAGGGACCAAAAAAATAGTGAAACGAACGGATACAGTCGGAGTCGAAAACAGATTCCCCCTGTAGGCACTCATACTTTGTTTCTCGGCCCGTACCCGAAACTACACTAAGCCGTATTAGGTTACACCAGGAACAACTCTTGTCAACCGTACTGCGTTTCAGAACGTATTCGATTCCAGCATCGTTGTAAAATACTGTAAACCTCGACAGAATGTTCTAGCTGGGTTCTCAAAGAAAGGGAGGGGGGAGGGGAGATCTGGCGACCTGGCTTGATCCAGCTGGTCTGCTTCCCAGCTGGTCTGCTTCTATCTGCAGCCGCTTCCAGTCATTCCGGCGCCCACCACAGGCGCCTACCACAGGCGCCCACCACACCCGGTCCCGCCCGGGTAAGCTGACGCAGATCTCTAGGGCTTCAATCTTGTAACTATGAGCAATAGCCCGTATTACGCTAACTACCCCTCTCAGCCACAAGAGCTCGACCTATGGGAACAGGACTCACAATATGTCCCAACTCTGGGATATACCCACAGCCCTTATGCTACGCGATCCGACTGCAGCCGCTCGCTATCTACTCCCCTCGATGATGAGCCTAGTCCCGCAAGCGGACTTCGACCGGATTTCCTACCGCTACTCCAGGAGCCTGAGCGGGAGAAGGACAAGATCTACGATGAGGATCACCCCAGCTGTATTCACTATTTCATAGAATGGCGGGTCACCGTCAATAAGAAGGTCATAGTGAAGGACACGGAAGAAGACCTGGTCTTGGCCCCAAGTGCCTACTGGGAGTTGATCTTGGAGAAGAAGCTACAGACGGTGCTTCGAGAGAAAGTCTCCCGCAACAAGAGGGTCAGGGTTGATGACAGCGATTGCTGTGACGGTCAACGATCGTTCCCAGCGCGACTTGACTAGGCGCTTCAACAAGACCGACATCAATTGGATTCCCATCGAGAAACAGCTCCAGATGTGGTCGAGTCACTTCTGTCGAGGGAAGAGACTGGCTTTGAGGATCTGTTTCAACTACGTAGAGGATTGCACTTCTCCATCCGCTGGACAGAAAGGGGAGAAGAGAGGTAAATCTTATGTCACTAAGAGGATGCTTGATGATCGACATGCCCAGCTAAAAGCTGAAAAAAATGCATGTGATCATGAACCAATTTTGCGACACGTTTATGCTATGGTGAAATGTGATTTACCATGTCATTTCGGCCCTATTGTTGGCAGGATCCAGCGGGAAAAAAGCATTATCGGCTTCGAACGCAAACTCTTAGGCGGCTAATTACCTATGCCGAGAAAGGTAGTGTCCAAGAGACACACAGAGACATTCCTGATGAAATCCAAGAAGAGCTATATATGGAAGAGCAGCAGAGGCTGGAGAAAGAAAAGCGCAAAAGCGGAACCGTTGTTGAGACAGGAACACCATACGCACCTATCAACATCAATGTTCTCCCATCCCACCTCTCTGGATCGGAAGTAATAGCTCCCAAGACGGCAGCGAATACGGCCGAGCGGAAGGACATGGGCCCATTGAAGATTCCTGGTCTCAAAGACGCAGCCGTTAAGGAATACGGTGAGTGGCTTGCATCACGTGTCTGAGATGATATCCTCAAAGCTGCATTTCGACAGGCGTGAGCCGTCACTCTAACTGACGGCTTTGACCTTGAGCACATCTACAAGGATCAAGATACAGAACTTTTTGTTGGCAAAAGGATTAAGCCCGGAATTGCCAGAAGTTTTGTAGAGAACATTGGTGACTGGGTTGACAACGTGAAGAATGCAGGTGTCCATTCTTGACATATCGAAGCAAGGCGTGCTGGCGTTGGGTTGGCTTTCAGCGTTCTTAGGCTCGGATAAAATAAAGAACACAGTAGGATGTCTGCTCCATGATAATTCCAGTCCCTTGTTCTGAATTAATTTCTGAATTAACCTGCGTTCCAGGTAAAGTTCAACGGCATAGGCACATTAGGATAAGTCTTCTCTGGCACAGGCGTGCGGTAATTACCCAGTAAGCAGGAAGGATGGAAGCACAGTTCCTACCGACCATATAAAGTACACCATTAAATTGAGTGGTAGCAACTATCGAAAAGGAATCAATGCTTATGCCTTTGGCGGATCTCTGGACTTCTTTTGTATATCCAGAGCCATTGACTTTGCTCTTTGAATTCCAGTGATTTCTTCAATCTTTTTCAGCTGTACTACAACCCATTCGCGCGAGGTGCTCATGGTAGTATGTGCTGTTCCTGCAATGTAAAGAGGCCATAATAGAGACAAAATACAAGCAGCTCTCATATCACCTGATCTGCCTGGTTTATCACAGTAGTGGAAAATGTATGGGACACTGTAGCATATATCGCTTGAGTTCTGCTGTATGATAATATCTGAAGTTTGGAGAAGTTCTCGGTAAGATAAGGAGAACAATGTCGACTGAAAAGACGGTAAGCCGATGTGTAGCGACAGTGTCTCAATAAGTGCTTGGCGAAGAGTAATGCGCGCACATCGCTGCAAATTCCAGGTGTGGGCGATCTCGATTCCGGAATATGAGTAGTGTCGTTCCAAAAACGCGTTTGCGTAGTTTTCTGGAATTGTTGTTGTCTTATACCCATATTCAGCCGTGAGGCTTTTGGCCCAGCGTTCTAGAGCTTTATCAATAGACAGGAGTGCGGAAATACAGCCAGACATGGTCGATTTGTCCACGACCCTCTCCTTTACTGATGCAAGAACAGCGCATGTGCTGACAATTATTCCTGCCAAGCGACCAGCAGGAACCTCCTTTGCGGACTCAAAAATTCGAGCCTCATTCATCCACTTTGTCAGTGTTACTGGTACATCCAGCCATCGTTGAAGGCAACTAACAAGCTGTTGGCATGTCAGAAAGTGAAACAACATTTGAACACTCTAAGTGCGACTTACGACTTCAGTGCGCAGATTGAGGAAAATGCTTCGACCGATCCTATTACGTAGCTGGCCAATTCCTCGGAGTTCTACCAATGCCAAAGCACCATCCACATGTCTGTCCCACGAACTGAGGTTATCATCTGAATTGAAATTCACCGTCTAGTACTTATTATTATCAATCTGTTTGCTCTCATCGTTGTAAAAAGGCTTACTTCATAGAGCACTAGGAGCGTCACAGCAACTAGCATCTGATCGGATAATGCTTCTGCAGGGTCTGCAAGTGCCACGCACATATGGCGGAGTGCTGCAGAATACAGCTGACCCCCCTACAAGAGTCAATGAAGGTGCATTCCTCACGTGCGCCATGCTCATCATCCCCACAGCATTGATAAGATCAGCCAAGTATCCGCACTCTGTCGCTCGCGTGTACATGATGGACACACAGTCAGGATGACTAATGGCCCGCCCAGATCCGCTCATGAGATAATGATAGGAGAAAAAACTCAAAGCCAGATGTTGTGGTGAAATTCCCGTCCATAGATCGATATCAGGCCCCTCCTTAGACCGATAAGCTGTGGCTTGTTGGCATCGTGCATTCTCTTTGAATACTGCCTGGTTTCCATGAGATGAGACGACGGGCGAGCTATTGTGTAAGATAAGATGAGATTTATTCATAGACTCCGCGGTTTGATCTCGAAAGGTAAAAGAACTCTGATCCCGGTATCCATCACACCTGGAACCGGCCCTGACACATTGACGACATGCAGGTTTTGACAAATCGCACTTAGCTCATTAATTAGTCAGCTATAGTGTCAAGCGACATATGTAGAATACCTTTCTTCTCTTAACTCGGCATTCCAGGCACGCCCTGCTGGGCTTACCGCAAAAGACCATGTCGGGTCAGATGAGTTCGGTTGCGAAACGGGATAAATTGATGGGGTCGCGTTGGAAAGAGACTGTTTCCAACTGGGTGGCGTCTTGCTCTAGTTAACTCCATTGCTTCCGTAATCAGCCCCACCAAAACATTATTTGTCGAGCTGCATACTGATTCTGGAATAGCTAAATTTGCGCCCAGCTTATGAGAACCACCTATACAGCTTCCCATGATTTGACCTTCGAAAAGTCCGGTAGCCATATGTCACGAATTCTACAAGTGGGTACTATGGGGCCTTGCTTTTTCTTGGTCACCCTCATCAACCCTCGAAAGATCCCTATCCTCGAGCTGCCTACCCTTTTAGGAAAGATTATCGTGGTAAAAATGAGTCGGCTAGACGTCACCATGGCCTAGTACATGCTACTTAAATTGTCCCATTCCTCGTTAAGTCCTGCCCGTCTCCCCAAATTATCAAGAGTTTGACAGATCTGGGTAGATCACTTCATAAACTTTGCTTATTTTGCCGCCTCATACAATCTCCTTCACACCGAAATCATGTCCCAAGGTGTTGCATTTGTGACTGGAGCAACGGGTCACCAAGGCGGCGCTACTGCACGTGAACTTCGAAAGTCCGGAATAGAAGTTCATGCGCTTGTCCGAAATCCATTTTCTGAATCCGCCGTTGAGCTCCAACGGCTGGGAGTCCAACTATTCCCTGGCGATTTCGACAACATATCCTCACTCAAAGCCGCAATGCAAGGTGTGACTGCGATATTCCTTAACGTATCGCCCACGCGTTCCGACCCTGCACGCGAGGTGATACATGCCAAGAATATCATAGAGACTGCCTCTTCATCCGGCACTGTCACTACGATTGTTTATTCCAGTGTTGCGATGACGGGAAAACACGAAACTTTCCCGAACTGGGGCCCTGACTATCCAATGGCATGGTATTGGCAAAGCAAAGCTCAGATTGAGTCCCTTGTACGGGAATCTAACGCTGAATACTGGACTATTCTCCGACCCGCATTCCTTATGAACAACTACCACATGCCGACAGCTTCCTTTATGTTTCCTGACTTGGTTCAGAAAAGGGTCTTTTTGACAGCATACAAGCCTGGCACTGCTATGACCTTAGTTGACCCTGGCGATGTTGGGAAATTTGCTGCTGCAGCGATTGTTAACCCTTCGGCCTTTAACAAACATGAAATAGACTTGGGTGTCGAATCTCTTACGCCAGCCGAGATCGTGAAGGAGCTGACTTGCGTGAGTGGAAAAGACGTTGCTCTTCAATTTTATAGCGAGAAAGAAGCAGCAGACCTCGCAGCGAAAAACCCGGTACTCCGTGCCCAGCTGTGGGCAAACGATGTTGGATACCAAGTTGATTTTGAGGGGCTATTGAAGTACCCGATTCGCTTGACCACATTTTCTGAATATCTAGAAACCCACCGGGATGAGGTTATGCACACATTTATCTGAGTTTACTTTTCAAACATCATTGTTGATATGTTGGGAATCGTGATTTAAGTCATGAGAAAGGGAGGGACTTCGTGTGATTTTGCAACACCTAGGATGGAAATGTGGACAATTTAGATATTCCTTCTGTTCATTTGCAGCCCCATCCTGAGTACTGTACAGTATAGAGAAAAAAGAATTGCAGACGATTCTGATGCTTTTCAAACCATTGATTCTTCGATTCATTTCTCAAACTCTTCGACCGTTACGCCGGAATGTCGAAAGTGGGCTTTGGCGTTGGCATTTTGCACTGACCGATAAGAAAGATGCGCTCTAACAAGGCTACCGAAAGAATTCCAACGAGCTGAGTCGGCTAACTGATTCCTATGCACAATGCATAAGGCAGAAAGATCCGGGGTAACTTACAGTAAACGGGACTCTTCTCCTACATTTTAATCTGACGTCAGGCGAGGCAATCGCTACGTTCGATCTCCACCGTCAATCCTGCGTGTCGGAAATGGCCTCGAGCGCTCGCCTTTCTAGCACCAACCGTATCAATACACCATTCAAGAAAGTGATCAAATCCTTGGTCCGGGTGTTCTTCGAAATAGCTCCAGTTGCGTCTTATGAATCCTTTAAGCTCAGCGAAGAATTCTTCGATTGGGTTAAAGTCTGGAGAGTAAGGAGGCAGATAAACCAACTTGACTCCAGCATCCGCACACATTTGCGTGATACGCTCAGAGTGGTGAAATGATGCATTGTCCATGACTAGGACTGATTTCGGCTCCGGCCATCTTCCGCAATGCCGAAGAAGTTGATCGATAAAGTCTTCGAAAACAGAGGCAGAATCTATCTTCTTTCTGTTCCTCAATTTAGAGCATAATATTCCTCGGGCTTCCTTCCGAGTACTCGCGTAGAGAAAATCGTGGTCTGAGTCTCCGACCAACAGTAGTAGAAGTACCGTCCTCCAATGGTAATCGTGTCTTTGTTCAGCTAGTCTACTCGGATACTTTAGACGGAGACAAATATCCCGATCTTGTATTACCCATCCGTCCGTCGTTTGCCTATAATAAGCTCCAATGTAATTATGGGCTAAGAAATGTGCTGCAATCAGAATTGAATTAATTAATTGCCAAGGGACATCAATAAAACGTATCTTACAACAATTCGGAGTTCGTGTGGATGGCCCTAGCTGTTTCAACTCCGATGTCCAATCAGCGTTGCCTGCAGGATAGCGCCAATTCCCCAAAGCTCGCGCCATAAGCTTTAAAATGCAGGCCTGCGGGCACCGTACCTTTTCCCATCTCCCTCAAAAAATTCAGCGATGGAAAAGCAAACCCCCACTTTTCCAGCTCAGCCTGGGAAGCGGTTCAGAAAGAGTTTGATATGGCTTGTAGCGGGCGTGGGGACGATCGGCCTGATGGGGCTGGGTGGATTTCCTCCCCGCGCACATCACTGGGGCTTCCCAGGCTCCAACGTCCAGGAGAATATCGAAGTTCCAGTGCAGACCTCACCCTATGGAACATTCCCCCAAAAGGGCGACCCATTCCAGTTTATACCCTGCACTGATGCCAGTCGTCCGCCACCTCTGGATGACCCAACCCCTCAGCAATCATGGGCTGCCCTCTTCGATTCCGACCCCAAACACTGGAGCTGGGGTAGCACAGGCAAAGGCATCTTTCTTTGTGGCTACTTGGACCTTCCACTCGACTATCATAATTCTTCTGACCTTCGCATCGTCCGTATTTCGGTGACCAAATTCCAGGTCGCTGGTCTACCCCTGAAAAACGACACCGAACTTTCACCCTGCGGTCGCAGTAAGTACAAGAGCGAACGTACTCTAATCATCGAGCCAGGTGGCCCAGGAGGAAGTGGAAGCACATTCCTTTGGGAGACCGCAGAAGAAACGACCGAGCGCTTCAGCGATGGGCAGTTTGATGTCCTGGGCTGGGATCCACGCGGTGTCAATCTCTCCCTACCCTCCGGAGCATGTTATCCTCAAGATGCGCACCGCGACCGATGGTCTCTCTTATCACTCAACTATCGCGAGGAAGCTCCAGATTCACAATTGGAGCTCCTTGATGCCATGAACAACGCAACCTTCTTCGCATGCCGGCAACGGCTTGGAGATTTTGGCCGCTTCGTGAGTACGGCATCGGTGGCCCGCGACCTTGATGAGATTCGAAAAGCGCTTGGCGAAGAGGATGTCTCGGGTTACTTTGTCAGCTATGGAACCGGTATCGGACAGACATATGTTAACATGTTCCCCGACCGGGCGGGTCGCTTGATCCTTGATGGTACGGAATATGTTCGGGACCACCGTCTCTTGGGCGGATTTGGGTGGACTGCTCTCGACAATACGACAGATGCTTGGAACGATGGGTTCTTGGGCGAGTGTATCAAGGCTGGTCCAGAGAGATGTGCATTGGCGAAGCCAACTCCAGGCCAGGACGGACCAGTTGTCCTCAAACAACTCCAGGATCGCATGGGGGGGACTTCTCGAGTCTCTTCGGGCACGCCCACAATCGGCATATACAGAGTTAGGCGGTCCATCTCTGATCACGTACTCGGCGCTTGTGGACAGAGTGCTGTATCCGGTGATGTATAGACCAATGGAATGGCCAAGAATCGCCCAGATGCTCTACGAGCTCGAAGCAGGAAACTCAACACTAGCAGCGAAGCAGCTAGATACATCATGGAGCGACAATTCCGACAAGCCTTCATATCCCAACATCCCAGCTTCCAGTGAGCTCGAACTGCTTGTGATTTGCTCCGATGCATACGACGCGCCCCTTCCAGATGGACTGGAATGGTGGGACGAACTGTGGGGAAACATGACCACCCAGAGCTGGATCGCTGGTAACTCGCGGTTCTTCGCAGTCATTCCTTGCCGACATTTCAATACATACTGGGATCCGCCGTCAGAGGTTTACCGCGGCGATCTCAACCATACCCTCAAGACTCCCGTCCTTCTCATCGCCTCCACGTATGACCCTGCGACCCCATTACGCAATGGCAGACGTCTTTTGAAGGAAATGGGACACAACGCTCGGTTGATTGTTCATAATGCGTACGGGCATAGCTCGAGGAGAGATCCATCGGATTGTACAGACCGTCTGGCAAAGGACTATATTTTGAACGGGATTCTTCCCCATGAGCAGGAGGTTCAGTGCTATGCTAATACCAAGCCCTATTCTCAAGCTCCAGGTAATAAATAGCACCACCCAGGCCTTGCCATAAACAGACCCTTTCGTCATTCGAAGGGGGACTTCCTATACTTCTTTAGGCTTGAGCATAAAAACAATAAATATCAGAATTTGATTGCAACAGTATACTCCAGCCAAAATCACAATTATTTAAGCAGCTAAAGATCGGTAAAAAATAAAAACTCCATGCAACTGATATTTCGATTGATCTTCCTTGAAAGCATCTCGTGGTTATCCTGAAAATCCCTTAACCGGATCGCCTGTTTTCCCAGTCTCTAGCCCGATACAATTTATCCTCTTCACTCCTTAGCCAAATGAACCATGTGAACATGAGTTCTATATCTATCCTTCCTATTGAACACCTTCGCACAATGAGTGCATTGAAACTTGTTAGGCGATACGTGAATAGATGAGATATGCCGCATCAAGGTCGCCTCGCTCCGAAATTGACCCGAGTAAGTGCAGCCTTGCCATTCACAGCTGTATTTGATTTTGGATGACTGACTTTGAAGCGGTAAGTGAAAATCATTCGGATATTTATATTGAGTGCTTTAAAATAAGGCTTACAATGCATTCATTTCACGATTATTCTCGCAATTCTCCGCCCCCATAACCTTGAGAGTGTTCTTCGCCGACTCTTCCAACTGGTGACTTGAGTGAACGTTGGATGATTGTTCATGAAAATCCAGATAGTTGGACATAGCTTCATGGCCCTGTGGCCATTCAGGAAAGAGAAGGTTATCAAACGCTTTCGATTGTCGGACCTTGGAACTGGGTGATTGGAACATCGTCGTGCTGGATCCCAGTGTTTTATGAGGTGTTTGTACCTTGGGATACGAGATTGGCGTCGGCGAAATTGGATTTCCACTGAGGCCATAACAGTTCAGCTGTTGAAATTGTGATAGGGCAACATTTTGATATGGGGTTTCGGGTCCTAGCCCGAATGAATTTTGCCAAGATCTGTTGTGGGGTTCACGGTATTCGTATAGTGCATCCGAATAGCAGTTGTCTGGCATGTTGATGAATATAAGGTTGAGCAAAATAATGCCAAACTAATGAGCAGGAGCACAGCTTGGCTCAGCTATTGAGATTGAAGTTTTAGCTGAGGTCTTCCTGGGCCAAGTTTTGTGAGCTGAAGAATGCTTATGGAAAGACATCAGTATGTGTATTTATAATTTAGCAGTGGCTACTGAGCCCCAACGCTTGGCATGGTCTAGTGTGCTACAGCATCAACGGTACGAGTCCGCATGCATCTGCTAGACCTGATCAGGTTTAGCGGTGGCGAATCCGAGCTATAGCCGATCTGCCGCTTTGTCTAATGTAGTTAGGCCCTGCTTACACTAGTTGTCGTGGTCTTCCCCCCCCCTTCTCTGTTATGCTATACAATCATGCCGGGCCGTACCGTGCTGTGCTGTGCCGTGCTGTACCGTGCTGTACCGTGCTGTGCTGTGCTGTGCTGTGCTGTGCTGTGCTGTGTCGTACCGTGCTGTGCTTTTTATTTTCTGCTTCTTCTTCTTCATTCGACCAATTACAGGGGAGGAAGGCGGGGGATTATGCAGTTTCAAGGTTTTGGCGTACTGCATAACCTATTCCCCATTGAAAGATTTCAAGCTCTACAGTATTAACGTCAAATTCGGACCTATGATCAGTGTTTTCTAGGATCTGATACCCAGTGATTCAATTACCGGAATTTGACTCTGGACTACACCCGACCACGCAGTTAATGCATACCACAGCGCCAATATTCCTCGAGTTTCCCGTTCCTACCACTCCCATCAATTTCCCGCCATGGACCAAAGGGTAAATTATCATGTAAAGCACATGTGAGTAATATAAAATCTTGTTACAATTAAATGTGTAATCAATTCATTATACTTGGAAGAATACCCCGATTGCGGCTGTTCCTGAGACGCTGCGCTAAGCTACTTGTTTGTTCAAACCCAGTGAGAGTTGCAAGCATATCCAACATTTGCAAGATCCAAGTATATCTCTCCGAAGATTTATCCGTGCAAATAGCCGCAACAAATAACGGCAATTGCAATCGGAGCACACCTCCAACCCCTGGCGCCCCACAGATAAAGTAATAGTCAATGCTGGCACAAATGTCATCCGCTAACTCGTCTATGGCGGCAATAGAATGCCACATTATCTGTTCACATTCATATGTCCAATGGAAACTGAGAATATAATGGGCAATTGATCTGATCATCTCATTGACGATGATCCGCATTTGGCGGTAGAAGTTCCACATCCCTGCTATGGCGAGGCTGCCGTACGTATGATATGTCTTTCTGCCAGTTGCAGAGCAAAAGGGCTCGTTGGTAGAAAGAGATGTTCTCTCCACAACTGTATAACTCCAAGTCTCATCCAAGGAAATGGCCCATGTTTCAAGATCAGCCTCGAACCCGATAGCTTCGCTCAGTAAGAATCCGAGATTTTTAACAGACTTTTCCGCCTTGTCAACTTTAATCGATAAATCATTCAACCGAACGATTATTCGAAAGAACCTTTCGCGAGGTCCGGCGTCTTTATCGTCTTTTGTTTCGGCAAGCTCTGATAGCTCCCAGATCTTCTGCGAATTGTGTTTCGAGTAGCGGAATATCACACCGCTTATAGCCTGAGTATAAGTGTGTCAACATAGGCCAAGTCTCTTTCGGGTCAATTCAAACCGACATTCAACAGTGTCACGGTTTCAAAAAGAGACCGCCCCAAGTCAGAATTGATTTGCGCTTCACCTCGTAACTCAATCATTCTGGTGGCTCCTAGAATGTGGTTCATCCATCCATGCATCTCAGGTCTTCCCATTTTGCCCATGACCATCTTCCAGAGATATTAAAGCCTGCTTTTCAGTTCTAATAAATAGAGGGAATCTTACCTCATAAGTACTCAGCATCATGACGGCTACCAGGGTGGAGTCCGTTGTCGCCAACGAAGGATCTCGTAACGCATCGTTAGTAGCACAGAGTGCCATACCATATGATTCTGCTGCCGACCGTTTTAAGGTAAATGACCTCTGCATTCCTGACATGCTGGCCAGTCCGAGCGCCTTGGAAGCAGTCTGAAGTGCAGCAGAGGACTCTTTGCTAAGCAACTCTAGCAGGTACCAAAATATGCCCTGGTTTTGGGTAAATCCAACCCAAAAGGTGAAAAGGTGGGACATAACATGATCATCGATTGAAAGGGGCGGAGGGGTTAATTTTGCTGGGGTAAATGATATCTCCCCTGGTGAAGTCGGCGTGGTTTTGCGCGAGGCACTCCGTCGGGCTTCGGCCTTTTGCGAGACTTCTTCAGTCTGGTCAAAGATTCTCAACATCTTAGGATCACGATACCCTGTGCATTTCTGGCGGATTCTTATGCACTGCGAGCATGATGGCCGTTGCCGATCGCACTAATTTGTTGGTTTGAATTGTAGATCACCCGTGGTGTTCACGGCTTCTGGTTCTTACCGTGAGGCGTCGCTTTCGGCACAAGTCGCACCCCAGTCCCGGCTTTCCTCTGTAAACCATGTCTCTTAGAATGAGGGGGGAATATGATGGAAAATGATGGAGAAGGAAATATGCCTTTTAGAGAGAAATAAAAGTTGGGGCCTCTTCAGGAGAAAAGTAATTTGACCTAAGCTTTGTGGGGGCCGAAAGGCGTGCAGATAATGCGAGAGCTCAGCTTGGTTCAGCTTGGCTCAGCCCTGTCACTGAAGTGGGGGAACTCCAATCTTTGCCCCAGGGGTGTTTCGAGTCGGTACCCAATAGAATTGTCCGACTGGGAGACAATACTCGAGACGACTTAACACGGCAGAGGACCCGCTTGGCTGTTCCTCACACAAGGGCGTGGCTGGCTCAGCGAAGATGCTTTATTTTCATACCTTACAAATTTTGTTGTGAGCTTGTGATGGCCCAGCGGTCTTTGTGAGAGAGAAATGTATTCCAGTATTCGAATTGGTAACTATCTGCAGCTTAACTAAATTTGCATTGCTTGTACTACCAGACTAGGTCCGATTATCCAAGTCGCAATATCTCCGCAGTTATCTTCTCCGATAACAAGTATAGACCCAGTAATCTAATAAATGGCCATAGTGACATCTTTCTAAAGCCCCCAAGTCCGCCTTATCAAAATCAATAGACAACATTGGTAAGATTTCTCGGCAGAGAAACATGATCCCAAGTATCACCTAACCAATCAAGTGTAACCTGAGCCAGCTGAAACTCCGCCCCAAGCTGACAATGCTCACCAGCACCAAGATCATTCTTGAAAAGATTATAAGTTGCCTTCTTTCCAATCGCCTTTGCCATAAACTCCGGCTGTCCCGGCGCAGAGCTATCATTCTCCCCCTCGCCAATAAAAACAGGACAAGAGATGCTCTTCAGCATGGTCGAATTGAGCGTGAAATCAGGTAAACGGCCCCACCATTCAGACGGACTGGTCGTGTTGAAACTGAACAATGACTGAGCAATAGCCCAACGCGAGTAGGTGGCCCCAGAAGCCTCAACGCTGAAAAATCCCTCATCGAATTTCTCATATTGACCCTTATCATAAAGATCGGTGAGACTTTCCGGCATCTCAGCTTTGAAGTGTCCGTATAGATCGTTCATACCGTCAATCGCTAAGACGGCTTTCAGTCGATGCTCCCTTGTAGCAGCGAGTGGTGCCAGTTGACCGCCAAAGGAAATACCCACGAGTGCAACACGGTCGAGATCGACGTCGCCGCGGGTCTCAAGGTAATCCACAATCGGAGAAATTACGTTCCACCAGTCTGGTATAAAGCCGATTTTCTGCTCGCGGAGGACTGTAGGCTGACCGGGTCCCTCATAGGTAATCACATTCCAGCCACGCGCAAGGACTTCGATGCCTATCTCATGGTATATATCCTCCTGTGAGCCGTCGTAGCCAGTTCCTATGATGACAGTGGGTACTTTTGTTTTGCCGTGCTGTGCTTTGAAGAATCGAGCTGGGACGGAGAATTTCCCACCGGGTACATTGGGACTTGAGGCTGGGAGGTTCAAGTTGATGGGAGGAAGCGACAGGAGTGCGGCTGCTTTCTTGAAGTCGGATACAGAGCGTGCTCCGACTCTGTTAATTCGTGAGTCGCTTTGGTTTCCGTGTAGGAAGAATGGTGCGACTCGATAGTAGGATGAGGATCGGAAGTAGGCCTCGCGGGCCGAGACGGGGAAGCGTGAGGCGTTGATGGAAGATGCTTTGGCGTGGATTCCATCGCCAAGGTACATGAACTCTTTATACCAGCTCTCGAAATCTCCGGGGACAATTTGGCTGGCAGCTCGTAGTACCTCGCCTGTTGAGGCACCGCCGCCGTTGCTGAGTGCCAGAACGGTCTCCAAGACGAACGCGAACTCTGTGTCGTTGCTTAGTTGGTATATGGCATTTTTGTTGTTGTCATCTTGGGCGAACTAATAGTTACGCAACACATTAGCACTTTCAAGAATTCCGAGGTCAGGGGGCCTCGTGTGGGAAATTACCGTTGGCAGAACGAGCTGACAGCCCAAGAGGGCGAACGCAAGGAAGCGCATGACGTCGAAGTCGATGAATGAGTACGGAGGTTCTTCTTGAGAATTACCGTTGTTCCCGGTGTTATAACAAAGCGAATACTTTGTGTTTTCTAAACCTCGTATAAAATAACATCCAACTAAAGATATCGATTGGTTTTATACCCTTTCGCTGGGTCGAAGTTATGAGAGGCATTTCGACTCAGCCCTGCTCATAGATTAAAACAGAGGTCACCAGTCGCACTGTAGACCTGTTTCGGTATGCACTAAGCATTCTAGGGCTGAAGTCAATATGCCTATAGTGAATCAGTTCAAAATAGCACCACGAGAGCAGTTCTGATGAACAACTTGGAGGATAGTGGATCCCGGCCCCCAAATAAGCCCGATCAGTTTACTTTATTAGGCTTAGTGGGAGTACGAGATTAGGTGTGCAGTACGTTCCTCACAGCCCCAATCAATCCACCTAGCAAGGTGTTTTCAATGTTCATTTACAGTAATTAAGCTCTCCGGATAATATCACTCACTAGTTCTACTAGTACCAATTGCTCGAGCAATGGCCATTTACTAGTATTGGGGGATTCGGTATTTTTTTTCTGGGAAGCAAGTTGTCCGAGTGTAGAGAGGTAAAATTGAATTCGAAAACAAGTGTATCTAGATTAAACCCTAAAACCCCAAGGAGAAGAGGAACAATCGTGTGTCCCAGACATCTTATGGAAGACCATTCATGAGAGCAGCAAAACTGTCTGTCATGGACCCCTCAAACTAGCTGGTTATTTGTCTTGCAAGAGGAGCGGTTGAAAAACCACTCCCCAGTCGGGTGCCGTAGAGTCTAGGCATCGCTGGGAGCGACTTGCGTGAGGTGAAGAAGAAGAAGAAAAAGGAAGCCGAAAAAGGGAAAATAAGAGGTTCTTTTCTGCCGCACCAAGAAGGGAAGGCGGTACCCAGGCCAGACCCAGTGACCGACTGGCGGTGAGTGAATATTGGCGGTGAGCACTTTCTGCCAGCATCAATTCTCTGCCAGCGATTGTTCTCTCCGCCAATTCTCCATTGCTGTTTTTGATTCACTCCATTATCCTTGTAATTATATTTCTAATTGGGTTGCATTGCCATTGCCCCGCTTTTTTTCCTTCTTTGAGCTTCTTTTTGGTTTCGCTACCCCTCCGAATTGGGGTTGTTGCACCGCCGATGCGCCGATTCTCCACGCGTGCATTGCTTCAAGCAAGACCGCCGCTTCTCTCCGCCAGATCTGCTTCTCCCCTCCCCCTCTTTCTATCCGCCCCTCGTTCTGCTTCTGCTTCTACGCCTGCTCCGAGACCACTTCGTCGTCCTCGCTCTCCTCTCTCTCAAACTTCCAAGCGCTATTGTTCCTACCGCAGAATGTGCAGCTCTCGACGCGGCGAGGTCTCCGGCTCGACCAATGTCCAGGGCCGTGAGGTCCTGCCCACCAACGTCAAGCCGGTGCACTATGACCTAACCCTCGAGCCGAACTTTGAGAAGTTCACCTACGAGGGATCTGTCGTCATTGAGTATGCTTGTTCCTCCAACTCCCCAATTCAACCCATTTCCCATGCTCCGCGTGATCCAGTTTACTGACCCATGGCCTTGCCCGCTTTAGTCTCCATGTGAATGAGGATACCGACTTCGTCTCTCTCAATTCCAACCAGATTGATATTCACAGCGCCGTTATCTCCTCGCAAGGCTCCATTGTTGAATCCAAGCCCGAAATCTCCCTCAACGACGATGCTCAGACCGCCACAATTAAGTTTAGCCAGGCTCTCGCCGCGGGGTCCGATGCCCAGTTGAAGCTCACCTTCACTGGTATCCTGAATGACAACATGGCCGGTTTCTATCGCTCGTCATACAAGGAGAATGGAGAGACCAAGTATATTGCTTCCACCCAGATGGAGCCTACCGATGCCCGCCGGGCCTTCCCTTGCTTCGATGAGCCTGCGCTGAAGGCCAAATTCACGGTGACCCTGGTCGCGGACAAGAGCATGACTTGTCTGAGTAACATGGATGTCGCCAGCGAGACCGACGTCCAAGGTAGCTCCAAGAAAGCTGTTAAATTCAACACTACCCCCGATATGTCCACTTACCTGGTTGCTTTCATTGTTGGACACCTTAACTATGTCGAGACCAAGAACTTCCGCGTCCCCGTTCGTGTGTATGCTACCCCCGACCAGGACATCGAACACGGTCGTTTCTCTCTGGAGCTCGCTGCCAAGACTCTGGCCTTTTACGAGAAGGCTTTTGACAGCGACTTCCCCCTGCCGAAGATGGACATGGTGGCAGTGCCCGACTTCAGCGCGGGAGCCATGGAGAACTGGGGTCTTATCACCTACCGAATCGTCGATGTCCTGCTGGATGAGAAGACCAGCGGTGCTTCGCGCAAGGAGCGCATTGCCGAGACCGTCCAACACGAATTGGCTCACCAGTGGTTCGGTAACCTGGTGACCATGGACTTCTGGGATGGCCTTTGGCTCAACGAGGGTTTCGCAACCTGGATGTCTTGGTATTCTTGCAACGTTTTCTACCCCGAGTGGAAGGTCTGGCAGACCTACGTTATCGACAACCTGCAGGGTGCCCTCTCTCTGGACTCTCTTCGTTCCAGTCACCCCATCGAGGTGCCAGTCAAGCGCGCCGATGAAATCAACCAGATTTTCGATGCCATCTCCTACTCCAAGGGTTCTTCCGTGCTGCGCATGATCTCCAAGTACCTCGGTGAGGATGTCTTCCTGCAGGGTGTTCGCAACTACATCAAGAAGCACGCCTACGGTAACACTGAGACTGGTGATCTGTGGTCTGCCCTTGCCGACGCAAGCGGTAAGCCCGTGCAGTCTGTCATGGATATTTGGACCAAGAACGTTGGATTCCCCGTCATCGGTGTCACTGAGAACCCCAGCTCTTCCTCCATCACCCTGAAGCAGAACCGCTTCCTGCGCACCGGCGATGTCAAGCCGGAGGAGGACAAGGTCCTTTTCCCCTGCATGCTGGGCCTGCGCACCAAGGATGGCGTCAACGAGAGCACCATGCTGACCGAGCGCGAGGCTGAGTTCAAGGTTCCCGACCTGGACTTTTTCAAAATCAATGCCGATCACTCCGGTATCTACCGCACTTCCTACACCCCTGAGCGCCTCACCAAGCTCGGCAAGGCTGCGCGTGACGGCCTGCTGTCCGTCGAGGATCGCGCTGGTATGATCGCTGACTCCGGTGCCCTGGCTGCCTCTGGCTACCAGAAGACCTCTGGTATGCTGTCGTTGCTTCAGGGGCTTGACACTGAGTCCGAGTTCGTTGTCTGGAATGAGATTCTGACCCGTATCGGCACCCTCCGTGCCGCCTGGATGTTTGAGGATAGCAAGACCAAGGATGCCCTGAAGGCTTTCCAGCGCTCTCTCGTCTCTTCCAAGGCCCACGAGCTTGGCTGGGACTTCTCCGAGAAGGATGACCACATCCTGCAGCAGTTCAAGGCCCTCATGTTCGGCTCTGCTGGTATGGCCGAGGATCCCATTGTGGTCAAGGCCGCCCAGGACATGTTTGGCCGCTTTGCTGCCGGTGACATCTCCGCAATCCACCCCAACATCCGCGGTAGCGTCTTCACTATTGTGCTGAAGCACGGAGGTGTCAAGGAGTACGAGGTTGTTCTGGACCGCTTCCACAACGCCGCGACCTCAGACGAGAAGACCACCGCCCTGCGCTGCTTGGGCTCCGCTTCCGACCCTGCCCTCATCAAGCGCACCCTCGGCCTGGCCACGGGTGACGAGGTCAAGAACCAGGATATCTATATGCCTCTCGGCGGTCTCCGTAACCACCAGGCCGGTATCGAGGCTCGCTGGGCCTGGCTGAAGGAGAACTGGGACAGCATCTACCAGCGTCTCCCTCCCTCCCTCGGCATGTTGGGAACTGTTGTCCAACTCACCACTTCCAGCTTCAGCACCGAGGCCCAGCTGAACGATGTCAAGGCATTCTTCGATGCCAAGGACACCAAGGTTAGTTTCTTACCACAAAAATCTCACCTTACCAAAGATTGTTTTTCGCTAACATATTCTCTTTCTCAGGGCTACGACCGTGCCGTGGAGCAAAGCCTCGACGCTATCCGCGCCAAGGTCAACTGGATCGGCCGTGACCGTGATGACGTCGAAGCCTGGTTGAGCAAGAACCAAAGCAAGCTGTAGACGAATATTCACTACAACGCTCTACAAATAATCAAGTATTAAAGATATAGTTTCCCTGAGAAGACGGGTTTTCCTTTGGGGGCTGTTTTCTTTGAACCCAAGATATGGTTGTCGCAGTCGCACACGGGTTGTGTCTCTGTTGAATAACATCAAAATCACACTCAACTCATCGTCATAGACCTAGTTCCTTGAAAATGAAATTCAATGCCGGCTAGAAGTAATAACAGACTCGAAATGTAGACGTAGCTTGTTAATACACTATCGCCGCTGAAGTTTCCACCCCTACTGCCCACCATTGTTTACCTTCTACTAGTTGGAACCTTTGCGGCGCCACTGTAGTAAACTCTCGACCCAAAATGCGGTATGTTCCAGGTCTGTCTCGGATATGATTGAGTAATGGGCCTAGGCAACATGCTGAAGGTCTACTGAGAGCCGTAGAGAACAACCTTTCCTTGTGCACCGCCAAGAGTGAATTATTATTATACTCAATAAGTATACGGTAATTACAACGGAGGGCCGTCATTAAAGACTTCCAAGGTTCTGTTTGGTCGGTATAGATCCAGGGATGTACTGTAATTTCAAGATTTGGGGGCCTTTCTAATTCTGGCCTCGGGGGCCAAACGTAAGGCATTTTCTTGGGGCCAAATGGGCTGGGTTCAAGCTCTCATTTCCTAGATCACTGATGCCTAGAGTCTCGGTATTCGACCTTGATAACCTGCGTCAAATACGCCAAGACTTCTCACGACTATTTCGCGTTCAATCAATCAACTTCAAGATATTCCCTATCCAATGGACCGGGCGTCAGACTCTGAAATTCCGCTCAAGTCGAACGACCGTAGCGATAAACTCCCGTCGAACGACGATGTGATCAATAATTCATGCTCCAGCTCACTTAAAACTTCGCTTCCTGGGAACAACCAAAACAAGAAGAAACCACGCGCTCTCTTTTACGTCGATAGCACGATTGCCGGAGAACCACAGGCGCTATATGATCTCATTTGCGAGCAAGCTCGCCTCCCACCACGAGCGTTTATTGGCATCACGGGGCAGAAGGGAATTCCAACAGATTTTAGGTTCTTCGTTGACTTAACGTCCACGGTGCTCCGGCTTGACCCGAATAATAGCGAGTGGAACAATCCTATCAAGGTTGTTCAAGATGGGGACGGGATAGAGGCTTTTCGCGGCGGTCGATACACATCTCTGGAATGGGAACACGCTTCCCGCCTTGGGGGGGCTTCGCACAAGAAGACATTTGGAGAATGGAGATAGGGAGCTAGAAGATCAAAGCCTCCTAGGGGTGAATGATAACTGCTCGGACGAAGAGGGCTCTTCTCTTATGGCCTGGTGTGAGCGGTTCTGTCATGATCCTGCTAGAATCAAGACATTCACAGTTGAACGAGATTTGGTCGGATTCGATCAAGAAGCTGTACGATCCGAGATTGCCTGGTATCTGAAGTCAATTGACTATGACGGGAACATATCTGTGAAAGTCCACATCCTTAACAAATCATTCAAGGTCTATTCGCCACACTGCCAGTGGTATAGACATATACGGGAGTTCAGGTTCGCTATACCGTTGCTGAATTGGATACTGCTACTATGGATCTTTCATTCGCGTCTGTTCGCCTACTTGGAAGTGCGCTATGGGGTTGTACGCTCATGGTGGTCGTCATCACAGAAAGTCAAAGATACCGAAGCCCCGTACGGGGCTCGCAGAATCTATGCACATGGCCGAAGCGAAACACAGATAGCGGACTTATGGTCCGCTGCTATCGCTCAGGCAGTGAAAGATCGAGAGAACTCCGGTAGGATTCTCGGAGTGGAATACCTGAAAAATCTCCAGGAGCGCGAGCAGGCGCGTATGGCACATGTTGGGCCATTTTTACCGGAACAAAATGCTGCAGGTAGCTCGATAGCTGGAGAAGCACAGGGTGGTTCTTTTATTGCCCCTAGGGAAGGGGAAGAAAATGCGAACACTGGAGGCTCCTAGTGAATGCATGTCTATACTGCCCGCATTGGTACACTTTTTGGCTGTATTTAAATACGTCAGTGACATTCTCTTTGGGATGATTCTGACTGGGGAGATGTTGTCAGCATGTCCTCTAGCTTCTTCTCCTCTTCTCCAGAATCATACATCTCTCAATTATGCCATTTTTTCTATGCGTAGTATGCCACGTGTAAGGTCCCCCATTATCTCTTTATCCACTTTATAGACGTTAAAGCTATGCCTAGCATGTCGTAGAGGACCCTAACGACTCGTCCCGGCGACAGGTACAAAGACAGGCAAGCGTTCTAAACCGCCCCATTCCATACCTAGGTAGCCGCTTCAAATATCGTTCCCACATATGCATACCTATTGCTTATTACCTACTAATTATCTAGGAGCAGGCCTGACAGCGCCGATGACGTAGATTAATTAGCTATTTACGAGGATTACAACTGTTAGTTGGAATCGTCTCGTCTATGAGTATAATTTGGGCCCATATATATGATTTTCGCGAGCAGATCAAACCTGAAATCAAGTACGGAGTAGGATCACTGGAATTGATTAAATAGTGATATTTTTCTTCTTTGGATTTTTTTTTCCTGGTGTAGCCTATCGGGTCCATGCCTTTTATAACCAATAAATGCCATTAGGGCCCGGGGCTAGTACTGGGCATTCAGAATAATGACTATAAAAAGGCCCATATCTGATTCAACGGCATTTATCACCAACCTTTTAAATGTTTAGAATTTGCAAGTTATGTTGTCCCGTGTCTCCAAATTTGTAACTGGAAGATTTGCGTGTCTTGAATTTACTGGGATGTAAGTTCTCTAATTACATTTATGTATAGCTCTATGGGGTTTCGGCTTAGCTTTAGCCTACTTTAAGTATCGGGCTCGACTCACATACTATCTATACTCTGTACGATAGTCAATACAGCAAGTATAAAGGTACTAGTATAGAATCTTGAATTTTGACGTTCTAGGATTAGTCGAAGATACACTTTCGAGTACCAAGGGGCATGATGGCGTGCTTGACTTCCCTTCTTGGCAACCGGAAATTCTCTTTCTGGGCGGCTCTCGGCGGCTCTTGGAACCTCGTAGAGGTTGCCTGAGTCTAGGGTATCCATGTTAACTACAATATGGCGTAATATGTCGATATCTTATGTGGCGACCTATTAAAAAAGGGTAAGTAGTATGGTACGGAGTACGCCGAACCTTGAAATGAACAAGTGAAAGGGGCCAGAGAACTTTTTTTTGATTTGCTCAAGCTGGAACCATCTTTGCCAAGAAATTCTGGACCCTGAATGTCTATTTGATCGCACTTTTCCCGATTCTCTTCGGCCGCACCAGCTTTGGATAGCGGCTTCCCCGGTTTGACAGGAGTTACCGAGCTTTCAAATTTCTGTTTACATTCAGAGCCCGACGCGGTCATGTTTTTCTTATAAAATAAAAGAACTTTCATTATCTCATTTTATTCGGGGGGGTTTTTTTTTCTTCTACCACTCTCACTTTGACATTTATCGGCATACCGCTCCGCAAATCACTAGCTTCAACTCCAGCTAAAAAGCTACCCGTTCGCGCTATAAACAACGACCTTCCAATTTAGTCCATCGCCCAGCACATCGTATTCTAGAAGGATTTCTCGGCTGGTCAGGATATGTGCGGCAACATTCGACTTTTTTGTCTGGTGGCACGAGGTAGCATCCAAGTCAGCCCCGTCCCTATTGCATCACGTTTAGTGCCAGCACGCCATTTATATACCGTTGCTAACCGTGCCCAGATTCAAGTCATCATATATATACAGAAAGAACTTTGAGTTTCAAAAAGCTCTCGTAATATTGTGTCGCATAGATCGCAGAGCTCGCTGATCACGATGGCTGATCCAGCTGGCCCCTCTCTCGAGACAGGCGTCGTGAATAAATCACCTTTCACAGACACTAAAACTAGCGAAGAAGGTGCTCAACCAGCAGATGGAGTCACGGGTCTATGTATGCCTCACTCTTTCTTGTTTAGACTTGTCTATTATTGTTTCCGAGGCTGACCATGCGGATCTAGATGAGGGAAATGTGTTCGAAACATCCCCGGACAGTCGACGACAGATCGGCGTGTTTAGCGCGATCGCGCTGATCTTTAACCGGGTAGTCGGGACTGGTATTTTCGCAACCCCCAGTACGATCTTGAGTCTATCTGGCAGCGTCGGTCTTGCATTATTCATGTGGGTTATTGGTACTATCATTGCCCTGGCTGGAACAGCAGTGTACTTGGAATGGGGAACCGCGATTCCGAGGTAAGATCTGCATCCTCCCTGTATCTAATTCCTCAAGAGAAGAGAAGCTCCAAAGCTAACTAAATCCTCTCATCCAGAAACGGAGGCGAGAAAAACTACCTCGAATATATCTACAAAAAACCCAAATTCCTTGCCACGGCGATGTTCGCCGCCTACGCCTTTCTGTTGGGATGGGCCGCCAGCAATAGTGTTGTCTTTGGCGAGTATATCCTCAATGCCGCAGAAGTCGAGGTCGGCCGCTGGAATCAGCGTGGGATTGGACTGGCCTGCTTAACAACGGCTTTTCTCATCCACGCCTTTGCTTTGAAATGGGGTATTCGTCTGACGAACTTTCTCGGAGCGATCAAGTTGATTGTCATGTTGTTCATTGTTGTCAGCGGGTGGGTCGCTTTGGCCGGTCATACTAAGATTGAACCGCCGCATAATTTCAGAAACGCCTTTGAAGGGACAAAGGGGAGTGGCTACAGCATTGTTATGGCGCTATACAATGTCATCTGGTCATTCATTGGTTACTCCAACGCCAATTATGTGAGTGGTTAAAAAATAACCCGCCAGTCCAGATACTAGTACAACGCTAATCTGTTTTAGGTCCTGAGTGAGACGAAGAACCCAGTTCGCACATTGAAGATAGCCGCCCCAGTGGCTATTATCTCAGTCGGTATCCTGTACATGTTCGTCAACATCGCCTACTTTGCTGCAGTTCCAAAAGAGGAGATGCTCGATTCAGGAACTTTAGTTGCCGCGGCATTTTTCAAAAACATGTTTGGGAAGCAGGCCGAAAAGGCGATGTCAGTACTTGTGGCTCTATCTGCTTTCGGAAACGTACTGTCTGTTATCTTCTCCCAGGGCCGCAGTAAGTCTTCTATCCGCCTTATGCCATATATTTCAAAGCTAACGATATACTTCTAGTTGTCCAAGAGCTTGGTCGAGAAGGCGCACTGCCATTCTCGAAGATCTGGGCTAGTAACTGGCCATTAAATTCCCCTGCTGCTGGCCTGTTTGAGCACTGGGTTGTTTCCGCAATCATCATGCTTGCGCCTCCCCCCGGAGACGCATATAATTTCTTGCTCAAGTAAGCTCGGATTGAACTCGTGACTAGAAATCAGCGCTAACAAAATTATAGCCTTATTTCATATCCCCTCTCGATCATCAACGTCTTCGTCGGTGCCGGTTTAATTTACATTTACCTGACCCGGGAAAAGAACTTTCCGAACTGGTCACCAGCCATCCGAGCAACGCTCCCCGTGGCAATATTCTTCACGCTCTCCAACGTTTACTTGGTTATTGCGCCATATATTCCCCCGAGCGATGGCCAAAGTGTCTATGAAGATTTGCCATATTTCTTGCACTGTGTGGTCGCATTGGGTGTTTTTGCTTCAGGTGCTATCTATTATCTCTTTTGGGCAGTCTTACTACCCCGCTGGGGTGGATATGTCCTAGTCAAAGAAACAGTAGTAGATGCTGATGGATGGTCGCGCAGCGTGTTTACGCGGATCGATAGAAAAGGAGGTCGTTGAGGGTGACCTTTGGGATTAATTTGCTGAAGGGCCCAGGGTTTTCGAAGGCGTAAATTGGATTCGTTGCAATGGCGCGTATTATATATGGCTTAAGTCTAGATACATAATGTTCTTAGCGATATGGTTTAAAAGAGGAAGCGAGTGGGTACTCTATGGCTTGCTAGAGTTACTTTCCTTCGAGCTCTCATCTTGCGTAGCACTTTATAGTCTATCTATATCTATTATCTATTCTCTGTAGACTCCCGCATGACCCGAACTAACTCAACCCGAGCTTATCCGGACGGAGTTGGGGTTTGGGGTCAGAGTCCTTAACCCAGAACTACCCGCAAGAAACCACGGTTCTGCCGCAGTCTGGTAAGTTGTGGCCTGTGGTCCCCTCTCCGTATGCCGCATATACACGAGACATCGGAATGGAAGGTCGTGGTTTTAGAACACTATGGCTGAGGTAGATTTACTATCCTACGTCGACACAACTAGAGGCGCAATATCGGGGCCGGGTGTTGGCGTCAAAGATTGGGGTCTGGGGTTTGATGCACAGCTAACTCTATTAATACCATTGACGATATTAAATTTTGAGTGCCAAATAAGGCCGACGGGAGTAAGTCGGAAACCCAGTCCCAAGTCTCCGAGGTGTCATTTATGGTGATTTATCTCGGACCTGTTGCTAAGGGTTACAACTCCCATGCGCTGATATACTAAAGCGTGATATTCCCCGTTACTGACTGGTTTAATCAACGCCGCATGTTGAAGCCAAGAGTCATGTTCAGTTGACACAATATATGTTTTCCCCAAATAGTTACGCCATGCAGTAGGAATCTTCAAGTTTGTCCTTCGGTTCTTTCACAGTGATTAGCGAAAGTTCTAACAAGAAGAGGGGACATGAGAAGAAAGAATGTAGAGAAAACAGTAGACACAAGTTAAAATAGTGAAGAGAAAGAAAGCCAGGAGACTGGAATGGCAGCCATCAACCTCTTCTAGGTGCGCCAAAAAATGTACATAAAAAGAAATACATAAAGCCGACTTTTGCACTTATTAGTTAAAACAGCAGATGTGTCTGGTTGCCCGACTGTGTTATCCGATCTTATGAATCTGCAAATAAATCAATCGACCACTGGCTTAGGTAGAGAATGCTCGAGGCTTGCACCCTCCCCTTTGGCAATACCTCCCTGGTCACTAGGCTTAGGCACATCATCATCATACTTTGCATCATCTCCACTGGCAATTCCGGTACCTACAACCGGAGGCACAGAATCCTGAAGTGCTGCCTGCTCGCCATTAGCAATTCCATTTTGGACAGCGGGATTTGGCACATCTTCATCGAAATTTGCGCCATTCCCATCAGCAATCCCGTTCCCAGTCGCAGGAGGCACATTCTCCTGAAACGTTGCACTATTTCCTTTGGCTATTTCCCCAGGATCTGGGTTTTGATCATTTCCACTATCTGTTCCTGAACTCGGTTTCCCACACCCTGACGTGCAAGGAAGCCCGGCAAGGCCTTGCTTTCCATCGGCACCAGGAGAACCCTTAGGACCCTGGTCGCCTTGCTTCCCTTGCGGTCCCGATGGGCCTTGTGGTCCTGCCGGTCCTGTCGGTCCTGCCGGCCCCTGTGACCCTGCTGGCCCTGCTGGCCCTGCTGCTCCCTGTGCCCCTGGTAATCCCTGCAGCCCTTGTGGACCAACAGGCCCCTGAGGACAAACAGTACAAGACTGTTGTTGTCCAGGTTGTTGAACCTGCATGGGTGGCTGAACAGGCTGAGGCTGAGTGGCTGGCTGTACGGGTTGGGGTTGAGTGACTGGCTGTACAGGCTGAGGTTGAGTGACTGGTTGTACAGGTTGAGGTTGAGTGACTGGTTGTACAGGCTGAGGCTGGATAGGTTGAGGCTGAGTGATTGGCTGGATAGGTTGAGGCTGAGTGACTGGCTGTATCGGCTGAGGCTGGATTACTGGCTGTACAGGTTGAAACTGAATAAATTGCCCACCGGTCATAACCTGCGGATACGGTATCTGCGGCTGTGGCCCAACTCCATATAGCGGGCCTTGGCCACCCATATTCACGGCGCCGGGTATACCCATGTATGAAAGTTGCTGGTGTGGGAAGAAATTAGGCTGCTGGGGGAGGAGGTTTGGCAGGATAGGACCCCCAAGGGACCCCATGCATGGTCCACCTTGGCCAATTCCAGATTGAGGAAACCAATTTTGCATGCCCCCTATTGCTTGTTGCATTTGGTTGAAGCATGGTTGTTGGACTGGCTGAGATAGCGAGATGGGTGTGCATTGTGTGTTTGAGATGCAGATGTAAGGGGTTTGGGCGAAGGAAAAAACAATGAATATGAAGAATGCAATTGATCGCGTTGAAGCATATATGATCTTCATTTCCCTGTTAACATGGAGGGTTGGATAACGGATGGCAATATCCTGGATGTGGACTTGGTAAACTTGCAGTGACGAGAATGAGAAGCCTCAAAGTCGCAATTAAGTAGTGAGTATCTGTCTGCACTATGTAACAGATAAGTAGACACCCATAATAATTTCAACGAATGGTTAGAAGCCGAAAGCGGGCGTACAAAGTTTACAAGGGCAGTAGGATCGATATGACAAGACGGTAATTTCCGTGTCCGGGAACGCCACATACCACGTAGCATGCACGTTGCACAGAGAATCGGAGTGTGGGGGTATTACAACGCTAGTGTCTGATGAAGAACTGAATTGGTGACAAAATGAAAGAGCCAAAATGTTTCTATTGGCATTTTTAAATGTAATGGACTGCTTAATAAAGGTCAATGTGGGATACGGGGCGATGGAAAGACAGATATCAGAGATGAAAACGATCAATTCTCTGATGAAGAGACGATGATGGAATAAAAGAAAGCTAGCTGGGAAGAAACTATCTACTTCCCATCTGGCAGGGGAGAGTCTGCACTCAGCCCGACTTCCTCAACAGAAGCTCAATGGGAGCATTTTCGCTTGGTTTCTGATAAGAACTTTCTCTAAAAAGCGATCTTAACCATTGCTGTGTAGGACATAGCCATATTTGTCCTGCACAGGAATGACAGGAAGCTGCATACTCTTCTCATCAACTGGATTGAAAAACAATTTGTTCGCATAATCCTTGTATCTCTTCACTCGCTCCAACCCGTCTGGTCCAACACCATGAGGGAAAATGAAGATCTGTGGATGAGGACCTGTTGAGCGTCAGATATAACCATGGCATAGTATCAAGAGTCGATTTCACATACGCGGATCCTTGGAGTTTTCTCTGCTCTTTTTGTAATACTCCTGATAGTCTTGCATCACCTGGCCAAAATATGCATGAGCAGTGAATGCATTTTCGAAGACCAGAACCCATTTGGGACGAACATTCTGCCCGACACTCTGCATGCCATATGCATAGAACGAATTGAGGCGACCTGCTACCAGGTCCTCCTCCGCCTTTTGCTTCGTATTCTTCTCATTCTTTTGGTTCTCCTTGATTTTTTGTTTCTCCTCTTCGGCTGTACTGTTGTTCTCTTTGGCACGCTTTGCGGCCAGAACATCGATCTTTGCTTCACCTTGCTGACCTCCTACACCAACAATTTTCTGTTCGTGGTCATTTTATGAGCTTTTCTTTCTCGAGACTTTCATGTGATATGGTCATTTATCTCTAGATATAGCGTACCTTTTGATTGTCCAGGTCAAGATTGAGGATTTGATCAATACCAAGACCCTGAACAGTCTCTCCCAAACCTCCTGCCAAAATATTAATACAACTTTTATATATCTAGTACCAGTGTCGCGATGGGAGAGCTCACCTGCTCCACCAACTCCAGGTAAGGGTTTATCAAGCCCTCCACCACCTGCTGCCGGAAGATCTAAGCATCTCACTACTCCAGATAGAGGTGATATCAGTAGACCAAAGAAGGCGAGTTGGAAGTTGAAAAGAACACGCATTTTGCCTTAAAAGAATCCTTTGTTTGCACTCTAAACGGCAAGATCCGAGGAAGAAGCTCTGTATACCTTTAGTTCAGTATCCTTAGGATAACGTGTGGCTTATACCAGAAAAAACGGCACCAACGTGAAAAGGGCCAAAATCTGGCACAAGCCTACTACCAATTCACAGACGCTCCCTGTAGATTGTCATGAATCATAGAATATAAACAGATAGGTCACATCACACAACTTTGTGGACCCTGGAATCTAAATAAACGGTAAATTTGCTAAATGCACATTACCTTTTCATATGGATTACGTCTTTCTGAAGGTGAGTGAGCCTGCATGTGTCATTATAGGTTGTAAATAGGACGTAGCTGAGGGGATTTAGAGTGCTAAAACGTCATTTTCACTTTCACGCCACCTTGTATACATCTTGCTACGTCTGTTTTCAGTAGGATCGGCCGTGTCTAGACTCGACAGTGTCATAGACTTGTGTGAATAAATGTTGAAATAGACCCTTGGACCGAGCTGAAAGTCATACTACTCAATCCTGGGTCCGTGCGTAGCCCTTGATAGTAGGGCCCGGGTTTGGAATACGAAGGTATAACGTTGGGAGCGAATGCGGTTGCCCAGGTGTGACATATCATGACATCTCATCCGGAACTTCAACTGATAAGTTAAATTCTGGAAACGGATATGGCGGATACTTAGTACATGGGCCCTAGAGATGGAAGTATATCTCAGCGCATTCATTTCAATAGACCCATTTTCTCTCCTCAGCCACAAGGGTGTTCCTATCGCTTCATTTGCCCACCATTTCCCGAGCAAAAATGCAGGCCAATTTCAAGTCCCTTTTACTATGGACTTTTATTTCTGGTTTGCATAGTGCCACCGCGCAATTCTATGCTGGATGCATTGCCCCCCCTTGTTACCCACCAGGGTACGCGTCTTATTGCAGTGTTGTTCCCAATACGCCGTTATGCCTTAGTTCTGGGAATCTGGGAGGGCTGCCTCCTGGATGGAATGGCAATGGAATGGGCTACCCAGAGCATCACCACCATCAAATGCGGCCTCCGCCACCACATCCGCCGCTTGGATACCAGCCTCCTTATCCTGTGCAACACCCCTATCCACCACCTTTATACCCACCGCCTCCACCTACACCACCACCACCACCACCAGGATACCCTTATCCTTATCCTCCTCAATACCCTTATCCTTATCCTATTCACCCTCAGCCGCCGCGAGAACCAGATCACCCGCCAACTACCAGACCAATTTATGAACCAACTACCAAACCTTGTGAATGCCCTGTGAGCTCTGAGTGCAAGATGGGAGACAAAGGCGAGAAAGGAGAAAAGGGAGAAAAGGGAGAAAAGGGAGATACAGGTGAAAAAGGAGAATGTGACTGTAAAATAAACAAATGAGGGATTGTGGAAAGTAAATCTTCCACAATGCTTTTATCAGACTATCCTATATGCTGGCCCTTTGGCTGCGGGAATGCTAAAGTGCTTCTATCAGGCTACTTGAAAGAAAAAGCCGAAGAATAATCTTGATAATACTTAGTTAATGTAATAGGGAGAATAGCCTGCGAGGTATGAAATAGCGGTGTGACTAGGGGCCTATATGATATAAGACTACACTGCTTGCAGAAGCAAACAATCAGACTTCTTCTCCTCGTCTATCCCTAGTCTCCTCTCTACACTCCTACTATCCCCAAGTGGCTGGACCTGGTTCTCAGGAAGCCCCCCCGCTACAGTAGCTAATTGTCCTCGGTATGATGAGTCGATGATTTCATGGAAGCACCTTTGGTAGCGGTGGAGTCAGGCTGAACATATATGCAACCGGACGTGTATGGTAACTGGAACGAGTACTTACTGGGAAACACAATGTGACTTCTTGACCATATCGGATGTGACTTTATTCCCTCACTATATTATCATTACCTCATACTTCTTCCCACGAAGAGACCTGCTAAAGGGACATTACATGTAGAGTAGGACATGGTGCTTCTCAAGCTAGTGCTTCTATAGTGTCGGAAAACATTTTGTATAGAGCTGGCTTTCTATGCTACATTGTACATACGGTACAAATGCAATAGTGGTCACTGTTACCAATATCACTCAGCTTGCCTGGTTAATCATACATAGTGCCAATCATGATCCATGTACCATGGAACAGTGCCTTGGTGGATTGCTTTTACCTACCTGATTACGTGGGATACTCTCGCTAGTCTCACTGGCCTTAATTAAGACTGAGAAAAAAAGGACATTCCTATACATGAGCTACTTGCCACGGTAGTTTTGTTTCATGAGCTGAAACTTTCAAGTATCCTCGGACTTGACTGCTAGCTTATACCTGGCCTCATCATACAGTTCAACTATAGGTCTCTTCATTATGAAAGGGCCATTTGTTCTGTTGCTATCCATCAGCTGCATGGTCCAAGTACAGTTATGTGCATGTCGCTATCATGTACCTGTGATGCCTGGATTTTTATCAGGGCAAGATTGGTCGCACAGCCCAGGCTACAATTGTCACAATTCCGGGAATCAATTCCAGCAATTTTCTTCATACCCATACTCGTCAGCACCATTCCACCATGACCTTGAATATCAACATAATGCTTGCTGTCCTGGAAATGCGGGCACTTCGGCTTGGTCCGAGCATAGATTTGGAATGCCTTTGTGGCCTGCAAATCCCACCGGAAAGTCTCCATGGACATGGCAATGCGATCGTGATCTTTTTGGGCAATACCCGGACTATGGTTTCTCTTCCAGGCCTGGACACAGCACAGTATGGAACGATTACGGAGCCTGTAATGACAAAGTCCACAAAGCAGTAGCCATTTGCAGAGCTGAAGAGACGGAAAGCTGTAAGAAACAGATGGCAAATCTGGAACAGAAGCTTCGTGAGCACTGTACAAAAGCTATCGAGAATACATGCAAGAATAACTTCAGTCGACCTCAGTCTGGGGATGACTGCAAGGAAAATTGCAAAAAGGAAAAGGCTTCTTTGGAAGATCGACTTCAAGCACAGTGTGCAACTGCACAATTGAACGCAGCAACAAAATGCAAGAGCGACCAAGATACGATGACTGAAGGGTACCGAAAATCAAACAAGCTGCTCGAGGAGGAGAATGAGAGGTTAAGAAAGCAGAACGACGAACTTGCGCAAAAGGCAAAGGACGATCAGAAGACCAAGGAGGCGTTTCAGCAAGAGAATGATCGACTGAAGAATCAAGAGGACGAGAACGCTCAGAAGTTAAAGGACAACCAGAAGGCCAAGGAGAAGCTCGAACAGGCCAACGAAGCACTTGAGCAGGAGAACAAGAGATTGAAGAAGCAGAACAATGAATATGTGCAAAAGGCAAAGGACGATCAGAAGGCAAAGGAAAATTCCGAGCGAGACAACGAAGAGCTCGAACAAGAGAACAAAAAGTTGAAGAAGCAAAACGATGAACATGCACAAAAGGCAAAAGACGATCAGAGGACCAAGGATGAGCTTGAGCAGGAGAACAAAAATTTAAAAAAGCAGAATAACGAACAAACGCAAAAGGCAAAAGACGAACAAAAGGCCAAAGAAGATCTCGAGAAAGAAAACGACAGATTGAAGAAGCAAGAGTGGAAGGACTCCCAGAAAGCAAAAGATGACCAGAAGGCTATGGAAGACCTCAGGGAAGAGAATGACAGATTAAAGAAGCAAGAGGAGAAAAATTCTCAGAAGACAAAAGACGACCAGAAAGCTATAGAAGAGCTCAAGAAGGAAAACGACAGATTGCAGAAGCAAGAGGACAAGGACCCGCAGAAAACAAAAGACGACCAGAAAGCCATGGAAGACCTCAGGGGAGAAAATGACAGATTAAAGAAGCAAGAGGAGAAGAATTCCCAGAAAGCAAAAGACGATCAGAAAGCTATGGAAGAACTCAAGAAAGAAAATGACAAATTGAAGGCAGAATCGGGACCAGGGCAACAACTCAACAAAACCGCTTCTCAGCCCAACTCCTCAAACTCCGAGCTTGCAGCTTTCTCTGGAAAACGTTGTCCATCACTGCACGGTGAAAAAGCAACAGTATTTGGTGTAACATACGAAGCCTTCTGCGGCGCTAGACCCCGTGGTCGATACACCGATAACTACATCAAGCCGAAGAACCTTGGGGACTGCATGGCGGCCTGCGCAGTTGACCGAAGTTGCCAAGGAATTTACTATGAGACTTCCCTCGCCCGGTGTCGGATAACAATGGATTGGGATAATCCTCCACGCATGTGGGCGGATAGTTCAGAATTTAGTCTCGTTCCTGTTGCTCCCAGGGAGGGAGGCATCGGTACCACGACACCAGACATCCCTAGTATTTTAATCAAAGATGAATACAGGAATTTTGCCGGTTGCCCAGATACTGATGGCATGGTTGTTTCCGTTGGGTCACTTCAGTTCCGGGTCCACTGCAGAAAATACCAGCCCAAGAAGCATATTGAAGAACTGGGTTCGTCGCTTGAACTTAGCGGGATGCTGGCTATCTGTGCTCTTAACCCAGGTTGTCAAGGTATTGCAAATTATGCCAGCACCAGATATATGATTGCAGAGCATGAAAAATTGCCGGAAAGGACGGGGAATTCGGATCTTGTGAAGGAGTATGATTGGGTTGTCATGTTGACAGAGCCGCGAGTAGCAACATGATTGGTATAGGTGATATTTTGGAAGCTTTAAATTCTAATTAATATGTTTCTTTCATTATGAAAAGTAGATCAGTCAAACAAGAAGTCCAATTCTTGTTTCACCGACATATTACTCAAAATTATGGGACTCTCAAGTTTTAATTCTATCCGGTATCTACTAGTACTGGTACAAAACCCAGGATGTTGAGTATCACGGCCCCCAACTAACACGCAGTAAGCGTTTCAGCAACCCGAGCACTAGTAATAGTACTACACTAAGACTCAGAGACCAGAAACTTCCTACCAGCTTACTCTCAAATCATCATACTACTGCTAGTATGTTGTCGGGATCGCCAACTGGCCTTC